AGAAATCTAATTGGGTTTGACACTTTTTACAGGAAGCTGCACCTTTTTACGGCTCTTTGAGCTTCTTGGTGTAAACAGCAACCTTTATTTTTAGCATTAGTCCGCTTTTATGTGTGAGCATGTAAACGTTTTAGAGAATGCTAGTTTTATTATTTTTTTTTTATTACATTTGTTTTTTTTTTCATTTGAGAGAAAGATAGAAGCATTTGAAGGAAGCACATTTAAATGCATCTAATTTTATATGTCAGAACTGTCTTGCTCTGGTTTTCGGATGAAGTTTTGGGTTTTTGCAGGTCATTTAGGTATAAGCTGCCATATATAGATTTAAAAAAAAAAACTTAAAGCAAGAACAACTAAAGGGACTGGAGTTGCATTCTGCCTTTATAGTTATAACTTGTAATAAATATATTATTATTGTTCTAGGCAGTGGCTGTTTAGGTCTCGCGTATCTGTGATGGTATCACAGCTTCACTGTTATGTCATATTTATATTTCTGTGGCTTTATTGATCACTGCACTCATTGTTTTAAGATTCATTTTAGATGTCTAATTTTCCTGAATCCAATCTTAAAAAGTTTATTTCATGTGTTGCTAACACTTTATGCACATCTATTTTTCATTTATTTTTTTCATGCTTGTTCATTAGAAGCTTCAAACCATAATTTAAAGTTAATATTCTACTAAATTAATCTACTAATTTGTGCTGGCACACAATAATAATAATATCTATGTTTTATTTAGTTTTTCTGACAAATCATTCACCTGTTGGTCAGTAAAAATAACATCTATATTACACATTAAGCTGTTACACTTCCTAAATCCTTTAAATAATATCCCAGATTAATTCAGTTTATGTTATTAACCGATGTTACCACCACGTGAATTGACCACATTCCTGTTTCCATAGAGACAGCCAAATGGAAAGAATTTTCAGTTGTTTAATGAGGGGGGGAATAACCCACTCTGTAACTATAAATGTAATTCGACATCATATTTTCTTCCCAAAATATCTGCAAATAAATTCACACAAATCGATATCGCAAAATGTTTCTTCTATATTTCAGTCTCATCCTATCAATACACCAAGTGTCCAGCCTTTCATTCTTTTCCTTTTTCGATTTGATGTTTCAATCATTTGGCTTCCATGGAAACAATGAAATGTTAATTTCATTGTTTTTAGGTGGAAAAATAAACCGTCAGTTCTGCCCATATGCATCCTTTTAGAAAATACATGATAAGATGAACTATAAGTGGGAAATCATGAATTATGAAATACTTGCTAAGATGTAAAGAAGTTACAGAGATTTAAATACATGCTGATAAATAATTATCAAGATAAAAGACAAGCAAGTTTATGTTACATTATAGTAAAAAGACAATTAAGAGTGCTGCACATGAGCAAAACAAGAGGAAAATACAAAGAGGAAAGTGCAATGCAGCTGCTTAATAGGAGAAAAAAATGCTAAAACTGATATTTGAAGGTAACAGATTGAAAGATAAAAATTAACAATTAAAATAAATCCCTTTATTGACCCACAATGGGGTCATTCTGGTGGGACAATGAATGGATTTTCTATTCTATTCTAATTAAATCATTTTAATTATTAATGTTTATTGTATAAAATGAACAGTAAGATGATTAGTCACAAAATAATTACTCACATACGCTACGCTAGATAACAAATTTAATTGAATAATGTTTAGACAGCACAATCAAAGCCTCCCAAAAATATATATATATATTTTAATCTCGATTGGCAGCAACAGTGGGTTTCAGTGCTTTTTCTGTTTTTAGAGAGTTTTAGTCTTTTAATAATTTTATCTTACCTTTTTCAATCATGTTATCTTCTTTATCTATATATTCCTCTTATTTTATTTTGTCACTTTTATTTTATTTAAATATTTGTCTTGCCTCTATGCCACTGACATATATATATATTTATTTTTTTGTTTTGTTTCTCATGTACAGCAGTTTCATATTGTTTGCCCCTGAAATGTGCTATATAAAAAAAAAACTTGCCTTGCTTTGCCTTCTATGCATTTACCCAAGGCTTAAATGATTCATAGTCGCCTTGAAATATAGTGTGTGAGAAAAAAAGAAAAAACAACTCCTATTTTGAAAATATATCTATGAACATTTTTTTTTTTACAACCTTTTGTTACCTGCATGTATTTCTACATGTTTTCAATAGAATAATATATATTTTTGGTAATTATAAAAGATTGCTTTAAGACAGTTTTGTTATTATTCTATGCAAAATGAAAGTAAAGGAGTGTTAGTGTTTCAGTTGGTGTAATCTACCTCTATCAGTCAAGCACTAATTCTTCCTTCAAAAATGACAATAACGCCCACAGCTTCAAGATGTGTCAACAAAGCGACACCGCGCTGCCTCGCCTAGTGCCACACCTGCAGTAATAAAACCGGTTGCCCGTGCCGCCCTCCACCCTGTGACTCCACTCAGCCTGAACCCACTGAAACTCAAACCACAAGACCCACACATTTGCCGTACCCTCTCAATACACCCCTAACTAAAGACACTATGCAGCACAGATCTGTATTTACAGATTGCAGACCCTAAAAACACACTTCAGGTCCAGCCCTGAAGAAACCCCCAGCATCTGGCCAGCCTCCACCACACCCCACCACATCCCCTGATATAGATTCACACCCTGTAATTGCCACACAAAGCAGTAATGTAGATAATGCAGGAGTTTTTCTTCTTCCAGTAAATGATCATAATCGTACCATCTGCTCCCAACAGGCCCACAGAGGCAGATGTTGTAAATCAAACAGCTTTAAATATTACTTCAGCCCCGACTTTTGCTATCTTTTTATATAGTTGCATCATTTAGTCAAATATGTCTTTGACTTTAAACATATTAATGCACAATAGGTAAACATTATTTGTAAGTCAATCTTATCTGTATCAAGCCAACAGAAAATGTGACTCACCTTACATTACTTTCAACATACACAACACAGAAAATCTATTATGCACCTTAATACGTCTTGTAGAACCACTATCCTCGGAAAGCTTTTAGACAAACATGATTCATCGAATTCTGGGTATTATTTTTCTTTCTAACATTGATGTTCTTTCTTTAGTTTGGATTTGGAAGTAGTCTCTTTTTAGCATGCAATTTTTGTTTTGTTTCTCCTCATGTCATGAATAAGTACATAAAACAACCAATTTCGACTCATATGATTGAAGAGTATTGAATGTTTTATATGATGTAAAATCTGCAGGGTCTTATATCAATTCATCAATTCATCTGCAGAAGCAAAAGCATTTTTAGGCAAAATGCAGAATCATTATCCCAGCTGAACTATCTTCCAATGGATCTTGTTTGTTTTAAACTTTTGAACCCAAAGGAAATCTTACAAGAATCAAATCAAAACAAAAACCAAGTGAAGAAAACAGTACTTCCAGCTACTTCTCTGCATCTATATGATATAAAAGTGTTTTTTTCTGGTCTATATGTACTAAAAGCTCTGGTTTCTCATGCAAGGTGAGACTCTTGGCTCCCCCCCCTAGCTATAGCTGACGTGGGCTGAATGTGGCCTTGGGGCCATTTGCTACCAGGGTAATGATTCTGTTCAATCCTGAACAGCTGCACAACTATAGTGCACATAAAAACTTTCTTTTTATATATTTTATCCATATTTAGATGTTTGTTTATGCACAACTTCTAAATGGAGATAATAAACTTTAACCTATTGCAATAGATCTTAAGTACGATACAAAGAAGCCGTTTCCCATCAAACAAATGTATTGCTTTAACTATATATATCCGTTTACTCAACCTGCTTTATTAATGGGAAACAAGCTTATTTCTAATCTAGTAGATAAAAAAAACACTCCAAAAATTAAGTAAATGAGGAAATTATATGCTAGTTGTTTAAAAAGACTATTTTTTAATACATCTAAGACTTTTTTAGGTCTACAATGAATAACAGATCTATTTTATAGAAACATTTGTGGTCCATAGGTATACTGTACACCAAATAAAATTACATAATCATTTAAAAGAGTGGATGTTAAACGGGTAAAATTCTCATCTCTAGTTCTATTTTTTATAATATTTAGAAAAAAAAAACCCTGATATTTCCTCCTAGCACAGTAGTTTCAATAAAAAACTAATTGTATTACTGTTGTTTTGCAGAAACTTGTTTGCAACATAAACAAGCGCATGTAATTCTCTTTTAAAAAAGCAAAAGGTGTGACGGCTCCAAAATATTTCCATCATATTCAAGATGCTGCAATCTAAAGGGTTATATTCAATTTCGTTTTTCTAAATGTATCTATCAACATAAAGAGATAAATCATTTAGCTTCCGTATCAAAGTCTTGTGCTTAGAGAAGCATTTGCTATGAGGCAGCTGTCCGCATTCCAGCTCATCCCTGTCATTCCAACGACATTCCTTACACCCTAAGTGAGGTGAGAGCGACACTCAGTGGAGTCAGTCTTCTGTCATCCCATCTAATTTTTTATGTTTCTGCGTGTCTTTAGGACGGAGGAAATCCCTCTGAAAATCCTTGCCCATAACAGCCTGGTGGGTCGGCTGATTGGGAAGGAGGGCCGCAACCTGAAGAAGATCGAGGAGGAGACAGGGACCAAGATAACCATCTCCTCGTAAGTTTGTCATCAGTCATTTACAAGAGGCCGTAGCTTTCTAAATGATGGAACAACTACCGGTACGTAGGATTTAGTTAAATGATTGAAAAATAGAAACAAAGGGTTCAGCCAATGTTTTTGCTAATTAAAATATTTTTTTTTTATTTTTATAAAACAATCCAAAAACAATCACATTTTCCATACTTAATCAGGCCTGGAAAATATTCCAGCCATAGTCCAAACCTTTCCAGACTTTTCAAAGCTTTTCCAGACTCTATCATAACAATGTTTTTGTTCCCATTGATCAGATGAACCAGCTCGTTATTTACCACCCCCTACCTTTGGTCCAGAACAAAACAAGTAATATCAGAATATCAACATTCATTTTCCAGTTTTCCTCCACCCTAATTGGTAAATATTAATATCAGTCTGCTGAGGAGATAAATGTATATGCATTCAACCACAGACTGGAAGAATAAAGTAACTGAGGCTGTATGAACCATTGTGAAAGTCTTGCATCATCGCTCCATCTGCAAACACTTTGCATGATGAGGCCTTTCCAGTGGAAAACATCCATACTGTCCATAGTATAAAATCTATGCTGGATTCAGACCTGATCGATAAGCAGCAGGGACCCAGGCCTGTTTCTGCTCATCCAGGTGTGTGAAGATCTAAAGAAATCTACCTGTAGATTTGAGGCTCAGTCACTCTCTGTATCAGTGGAATGACGGTGAATATCGCCCACTCTTAACCTGGTTATACGATGTACACAATTTGCATCAGACATCCAAGCTCCCTATTTAAGAGCGAGGCTCCCATCCTGCTTGGCTTAACCGCAATCACTTAGCAAAACAGCAGCAGATATATTCCCAATGCTTATGCGTAACAATATTTAGACTGCTCTATTACTGCTTTGTTACAGTATGTTCTGCTTCATGCAGCCACACCCTCCTTCCTGTACGTTCATCTTTTTAGTTTCACCTACTGTAACTGAGCTGCTGAAAGTGAAACTATGTGGAGATGATTAAGACTCCAGGACATGATGTCAGTGAGGAGGAGATTACATCCCATTCGGCAGAGCTTGCTCAACCGGATTTTTTTTTTCTGTTTAGAGAAACCAGCAAACTGGTGAAATATCCTCTGTTGTACTGAAGAAAAATGGATAGAAAAGTGTAAACTGCAGGGTTATACCCAGGTGAATTATTTTGTAGGGAGAGAACTTTAGTTATTGATTTCAAATTGTGCAAAGACTCACATTTTATTGACAGTTGAATGGTCTGTGTTTGTGCTATAAAGGCGTCTGTCAAAGTGAGCATTGATTTTGTTGAATGAGTGAAAGTTTTCATTGCTCTAACCTCTTTTATGAGGTATTTCGTCTTTAAGCAGCGTGCGGCTGTGCTGCAGTTCTCAGGCTGACCTGGCTTCACTCGTTTCGCACAATGTTTACCAGAAAGGTTGCTCTATTCATCCTACACTCCTGAGAAGGGACAGGGAAATGTCTTCAATATCAAAAAAATATCCTGCTATGTCACTTATTTTATCTCAGTTATGTCTTGTGTCCTGCAAACTGCATAAGTGCCAGCTTAATTGTAGGGACAGCATTCGTACAAACAACGAGGTCTCAATGGGTCTGGCAAGGGTCCTTACTAAAATAGTTAACCTTTTTATGTTTTATCAGTAGACAATAATGAACTTTAACACATTTTATCATCTGATAAATATCCCCGAGTGGTGAATTTTTTTCCCCCCCAACTTTTATTGTCATAACACTGTCACAAGTACAGAGCAATGAACTCTCTGCATTTAACCGATCCCCTTGGGAGCAGTGGGCTGCCATTGTTCGGCGCCCGGGGAGCAGTGTGGAGTTACGGGTCTTTGCTCAGCAAGCCAGAGTGGCAGTCTGTGGGAGTGGGGCTTGAACTCACCCATGATGGGTGACTTACCACTTGAGCTAGTCAGCTGAATGTCTGTAAAGTGGAGGAAAAATAATACCAGCTTAAAAAACACACAAAAAAAACTAAAATAAAATAAACTGTCTAAATCCATTCAGGACTTACAAGGATTTTTATGACCAGTCTTCTTTGCAAAGCAGTTCAATCTGACTGGATAAAAAATGTCTGCAGATGTCAGATTTTCTTAATGCTTCGCTGCAGCATAAAGCTGCCACCGCTATGCTTGAATGTGGGGTTGGACTGTTGTTTAATTTTTTTGTTAGACATACATTTTAATCCTTCTTAATATTTTTAATTTGTGCAGTGCATTCCTCGAATTACTTCAGGTTTTATTCCCCCACCGGAGCTGTTATTCCCTGCAGCTCCTCCTTGCATTTTTGTGTTAAACTGTCCTATCAGTGGGATGTTTGACTCCCAGATATTGAAAATCCAAACTGCTTTAAACTTCTACTGTGTTCCTCATTCTCCATGAGGCTGAATGTTCTCTTGCAAACCCCTGAGAACCTCACATTTATGCATTCAAACTGAGGTTAAATGACACATGGGTCACACTTATTAATGAGGTTGATTTAGCAAGCAATTGTATTCTTTTTTTTTTTTTTTTAGCTGTGTCAAAGTTAAAGGGTATAAGTACAAGTGCACATCAAATTCTAAATTTCTGTTTGTAAAAGTAATTGAAAACCATGTATTTTTTAATTTTAATATCCTACCTTGCAACCATTAATATCACTGTGTTGGTCTGACACATAAAATATCCGTGGATTACATCCAGTCTGTGGTTGTCATGTTACAAAAAGGCAAAAACTGCATGGGTGCTTTTGCAAGTCACTGTTTTAGTCACTAATATCATTTAAATGTCTACAAAAACACCCCACCTTAACATGTAGCCTTAATTGAGTTGATTCCAATTGTATTTTAAAGGAAATCTCTTTAAATATCTGAGTTTTGAGAAACTGTACACATACAATCAGGAACCCTGGAGCTATTTAGAGTATTTCTGTATTTTCCTATTGATTGTGTGTGCCCTCTCCGTTTCAGGTTACAAGACTTAACTATTTACAACCCTGAGAGGACCATCACAGTGAAGGGAAGCTTGGAGGCTTGTTGTAAAGCCGAGGTGGAGATCATGAATAAGCTGAGGGAAGCCTACGAGAACGATCTTGCTGCTATAAACGTAAGCCCAACACTTACCATTTGCAGCCCCTTTGTGCTGTTTCTGTGTTGCCCTTGTGGTGATTATGACTGTTGGATGACTCACACAGACTGACAGGTGAGAGGTGAAGGAGATCGGGGGGGGTTTGACCACAGGATGATATTAGCTTCCCCTGTTGTGCGTTACCGCCAGCATTAGTAAGGCCTGCTCTGTAAACAGATAACAGTAAACGATCGCTGAATAGCTCATTAAGCGTGTTGAGTATTTGAGCGCAGCTTGTCTCCGTGTCTCTGACTCACACTCCCTTCCCTGCTGTGTGTGTCTGTGTTCCTGTTGTAACACACCGCGTTTCCCAGCATCCATCCGATATCTGCAGGCCGCTATCTCAACCCGGCTCCTCTTTCACACCGGCCTGTGACATCAGCAGCCGCTGAGGTCAAGCCTCAGACGAAGAGAAGCAGCGGGGATGTCACGCACTGCATCCTCTCTGTTTCCGGGCTGATGGGAATGGATGGACATCAATGATGCTCATTATGACCAACGGCTCCAAAGCCAAGGAGAGGCACTGGAGATCTTTAGGCTAATATATGAGGTCCGTTAGTCCAACTGCTTCTCTGTTACCATGTTTGCTTTACTCTTTAAATTATTATGAGGAAGTATCACCCAGCATGCAGCTGAATGGCTCTGGCTTGCTTTAGTTGCCGTGGCAGCTGACAGGTTGAGCTGTGTGTGGGGAGTGCCACCTAGCGGTTACCTTTGAATATTACAAATAAGATCCAGCGGAGTATTCAGAAAGGAAAGACGACAGAGAAAACTGGAGGATCCATCCATCCATCCATCCATCCATCCATCCATCCATCCATCCATCCATCCATCCATCCATCCATCCATCCATCCATCCATCCATCTCAGTATTGGGTCCAATTTCCAGATGGTAGAATTGAGAGAAATGGCTGCTTTGTGCCAATTAGCCTTTCAGAAGGTTGCTATCTAGGTTTTTTTTTAAGATAACTTAAATAAATTAGTAACATTTTAATTTGAAGACAACTTTAACGTATAACAATTGTTTTATATTTAGCAATGAAAAAAAATAATCTCCTACCGAAACAGCAAAGGTTTGATTTAATATTAAATAGAGAGGAAAAAGTTGTGTCCTTTCGTGCAAAAGTAAACTGGTGCCATTTGATCTTCGATGACATCCTCCTCTACTGCACCTTTAACCATTTATAGGGTAAATTGCCATTTTTGATTACTTGCATACCCCTTATGAATGGAGTCCCAACCCCCCCCCCAGCCCTCAGTGAGTTCTAAAAGCACAAGACTTTTATCTAGCCATTAAGCAAAGATGCTGCTACATGTCTGTACATGTTAATTTGGCATTTGACCAATTAAATGAGTCCTTGATGATATATTACCTACAGTAAATTCAATTTGTAAGAAGTTGAGAAAAAAAAAGATAAAAAGCTAATTGAACAGTTCAAAAATAAAGTAAAAAGGTAATTGAGTTAATTTTAAGAAGTAAAAAAACTTGTATTGCCTGTATCAGCATTAATGCTCTATGGTTATGTTGTAACAAAAACAAAAGTTGTTTCTTTCACTTTGTGACTATTTTTCATGATTTTAATATAGAAGCACTTTGGTTATTTTTCTTAATATATTAGGGCAAGTGGCCATTTTTTGTTATTACATTGACCTTCATTTCTGCCATCAAAATATACATGTTTTTTAACTTTCTCAAAAGTAATAAGGTTCTGTCCTTCAATAACACTTTTGGCTTTAAATGTTGAATTTCAAAGTATTTCAATAAGTGCCCCATAAAGGGTTAAAGACAGCTGAATGCACAGCGCTGTTTGCACAGTAACTTTGAAGCTAGAAGATCATAGGTTTAAATTCATCTGGGACCCGTCTGTATTTTGAGTATTCTTCCTGTGTGTGAATGAGTTTTCTTTTGGTACTACAGCTTCCTGTACCAGCCTTAAACAGAATTGTTGGGTTAATCAGTATCATGGTCTCATCCCTTTTTATTATCTTATTAAAGGAATAAGATAATTTAAATAATCAGACCCTCATAATTCTTCATTTACAGCAACAAGCCAACTTGATCCCAGGCTTAAACCTGAACGCTCTGGGCATCTTCTCCTCTGGTCTGCCGGTGGTGCCTGCTGCTGCCGGACCACGTGGTGCAGTGTCCCCTGTAGCATCAGCAGGATACAACCCCTTCTTAGTAAGTCCTCTCTATTTTGTTTACTTCCATAAATGCCGTAGGGACGGAAAAATCCTTAAATACCTTTTTGGATTGGTTTCCTCTGTGTTTGTTAGACATTGTAAATCATCTTCCCCTAGAAGTGCCTTCAGGCGGCACTACACTGTTGACTAAGGTCCTCCTGAATGATGTAGATTGAAACAAGCAGAATTCCCCATCTTATGTGGAAATGAGTCAGTTTGTCTGTGAAACAAGGTCTCCACTCATTTCCCCTTGTAAGTGGTGTGAGACACTGTGCTAGAATGCACAAGCGTGCTTCACGGTCAAAACGATGGGCGTGTGATTCACCGTGAGTGTGAGCCCTGAAATCCCCCTCAAGAGTGAACACAGTTTATGTTTGTGTTAACATGTAGTCTGACGGGCCTGTTTATCCCTTTCAGAGTCACTCTCCACATCTCAGTGGCCTGTACGGGGTTCCTCCAGCAAGTGCCATGCCCCACCAGCACTCAGTAGGTTCCCTCTCCTCTTGCAGCTTCAGCCATCGCTGTTAAGTTTAATCACTGTTTGGTATCATATTACAAAATATATGCAACAGAGATACAGTGGATAGTAAAAGAGTTTCAGCAGCTAAACAAAGATTTTTTGAACCTTGAGTATTCAACCATCGGTTTATGACGTTAAGCTCAAACACATTTGGGAAGGCCCAACTCTGAATGGATGTTAAAACAAACAAAAACCCTAAATAAAGGATTTTAACGTGATATAGTGACTGACATTCGGCCAAGATGCTGCAGCGTAACCTTAAACAGACTGTCCATTGTTAAAACCCTCTACTGTGTCTAAATTTAAACAGTTCAACAAAGTAGATCATTTCAAAAATTCCCTACAGGTCGCAATACGTTTTTTTCCCTCTAAAAATATATTAATAAGGATTTTAAAACAATTTTCTTGCTTTTTTCTTTTTAATGTTATATATATTTTGTTGACCGTTTAAAAGAAAACAATTACAACATTAACTTAACTGGGTATACATCATTGTTAATTACTTTGCTTGTAGAGTGTCCATTTTTTTTCATTTCTTTTCCAATTGTGGTCCTTGTAGCCTCAGTCTGAATGTTTGTTTATCTTTTAGGAATATGTCTTCTATTGTAGTTATTTATCCATTGCTGATTTGATGATACAGTAACCTTCCCCCATTTCCTTGTGATAATTTTTGTTGCTGCTACCAACATTATTTTTACCAAATATTCATCAGATGAATATGACAAGGAAATGGAGGAAGATGAATAAAACCATCACAAAAATTACATAAAAACAGAACTTTAGGCTTTAAAGGAATTGCATATCCCAAAACTTGGCACATGACAACAAAAGTATTTCGGGCATTTTCAAAAAAATTTGTGAATGTTCAGCATCTGTTTCTCCACATTCTCTCCAGTACTTCTGTTGCTTCTGCAATTGTTTGCTTTTTAATTTTGGTGTAATAAAGAATCTTAGAAGATTTTTCCAGGCAAACTCTCTTCATGTCTGAACTGGTAGTCATATGATGGAATTTCCACATGTCTAACCAATCCAAATACCGTAATCAATTTCAATATTAAATTCCTTTTCCTATTTTAATTTCACTTTTTCGGTTGTGTGTTTATCCTTGTTTATCAATTGCTTTATATAATGCAAAGATTGTTTTGTCTTTAACGGTCATATTAATCATCTTTTCTCCGATTTGATAATTTAACAAAATGGGTGATTACTAGAAAACTAGTTTTAGACCTCTTTATTACCTGTTTCTCTAATTCCTTGCTCAGTTTACTTTCAGGCTTTATATTACCAAAACAGATTATTGATTTAGGGGATTATTGAGTGACCATTCTAAAGGTCTTTTAAAGCTGATTAGTTGTTTTTTGTTTTATGCACGTGTTGTAAATAAGCATCTAAGTATGTGTTGATGGAGGTCAGATAAATATTAAACTGGATCTTTCAGTGTTTCATTACCGCAATTATTTTTACCAAGACATTAAAATTACTTCCATTAAACTTTGGGGAAGAAAAAAATTATAATTCTAGGAAAATAGTACTGGAAAGCAAGAAGGCAATTCTTAAGGAGCTGCAGCCAGCATAATAAAGCAAACGACCTGAAGGATGATGCCTGTCTAATATCTGGTACCAGAGGTTTGCTGACTGCTTTTCCAGCAGTTAAAAACCTCCTATTCAGACCTCTGCCTTCCCTGTATATACAAAGAAGGAATAGAAAATAGCTAAAAGCTAAAAGGAACTGTTAGATAAATTTGAGATATTAAGTGCTTCCTTTGAAGGAAATTCTGTATATTTAAGAGATGTAAATAATAGGCCATTGCAGCTTCTTATTGAGGTAGAGACGATGGTTTCTGCTGTTTCTCATCACCTAGTCAACTGAACACCAGAGATTATTTTGTTTGCAACCCAAAATTATACAATAGTTTTACAAAATTCACTTTTTGTGTGCTATTTTTTAAAGTTTTTCTGTGTTACTGGTCCCTTTCTCTTTGGTTCAGCAACAGGCTCCAGAACAGGAGGTCGTCTACCTCTTTATTCCCACTCAGGCAGTGGGGGCCCTGATAGGCAAGAAGGGCCAGCACATCAAACAACTCGCCCACTTTGCAGGAGCTTCCATCAAGGTGGGTCTGTTTGCATCACCTGCTCTTTAAACCATAGAAACTTTGAGAATGGCGTTAATCTTCCTGCAGGATGGAGTTCTGCAACGTGAAATAGACGTGCCATGCCTTTTTAAAAAAGGATATCACCAATCATTAAAGGGATGTTGTTCTGTTGGGAATGATTGCGGTCTGAGTCAGCAGCACTTCACTGACCGCAGCCTGGGCAGCTTTTGTGATTAAAGAGCAGATGACTCGAGAGATGGGCACGTCACATTATATAACTAGAGTCTTTATATTGCATTCGATGTGTTTATGCTTTATGCATTTTTTTATATTTGTCATGATGATTTTGGGCTAAAGCACTACCTGTGAAGCCAGACCAAAGGAATTTAAACATGAGTTTTTCTCCCTCATTTCATTGTGATTTTCTTAGATCGCTCCAGCAGAGAGCCCAGATGTTGCTGAGAGGATGGTCATTATTACTGGAACCCCAGAGGCTCAATTTAAGGTAATCACACAAGCTCAAAGTAATTAAATCAAAAAGAAGAATAAGATCTCTTTTAACAGGAATGACATTTGTGACATGTGTCATAGTAAACTGCAATGGAGCGTCTTGTGTCCCCATCTTCCCCAGTCTCTCTTTGTCTCATACCCGCCTTTGTATTCCAGGCTCAAGGTCGGATATTTGGGAAGCTGAAAGAGGAGAACTTCTTCTCAGGAAAGGAGGAGGTCAAACTGGAGACGCACATCAAGGTTCCCTCAAGTGCAGCTGGCAGAGTCATTGGCAAAGGGGGCAAGACGGTGAGTACACTCTTTCTTATGCAAATAAACCTATATGGACATGATTAAAACCTAAATTTTAACTCCAAAATTCCTTTTTTTTGTAGTCAAAAGTTTAAATGCAATATGCATTGACAGGGAAGTTAAAAAGGACCCATCAAATAGGGGACAAAATTGATTTAAATGTCTTTCATTAATACAGGATGACCTAATTACATAATATTTAACTTAATATACCGTAGAAATTTGAATCTCAACCACATCGCAACACAGCCTTCTCTTATGAAGGGGTCAAAAGGGACAAAATGTTATAGTTAACTATATTATGAAATAGATAAATGTTCCCTTAAATGCCTCATTAAAGAATTACATGCATCATTTATTTATTTAGTGCATCATTAATAAATTAAATGTTCGATTAAGTTATAAAATTAACAGTTAAATAAATTATTGTGCCATTAAATAATTAAATATACATTTTATATGAGGACATTAAATTATTACACTACATAATTTTTAAATAAGTTCTTGTGAAAACAGATTTTTTTTGTTCCAATCTGTATTCATTTATTCCACGGTGTGGATGCAGCAGACTCGTCATGCATGATTTGAATTGTGAACTTGACCCACCAATTCAGTGACTAATACCCTTTTTCCACTGGCCGAAAAACCTGTTTAAACCCAGGAACAATTGGCTTTTAGTGACAGTAGGAACATCTCAATGATGTGTGTCTACCTGGGTCAAACCAGAATCAGAATCAAGTTTGTTGCCAAGTAGGTTTGCACTTACAAGGAATACTATATACCATATATAGTATATAGCTGTATAATATAAACGCAGTAGACTGTGCATTAATGTAAGGCAGGAGGTATAGAGATGCTACATCGGTGTAGCTTCTAGATTCTGAACAGGGGAGGGAGAGAGGTAGTGTCAGCGTCACGGGGGTTTCTGGGCCTTTTGAGAAAGCTGGTAGCGGATGGGAAGAAACTGTTCTTGCGGCGTGAGGTTTTGGTCCTGATGGGCCACAGCCTCCTACCAGGGGGAAGTGTCTTTAATAATTTGTGGATGGGGTGCGAGGAATCAGTCACAATCTTCCCTGCTCGCCTCAGAGTCCTGGAGGCGTACGGATCTTCTAGAATTGGAAGCTTGCAGCCAATCATCTTCTTTGCAGACCGGTGACATCAATAACGCTAACCCAGCGTGATGGTGTCACCAGACACACAGCGGTTGGGGGATAGAGGCCAAACAACTTGCCAGCTAGAGGTTTCACCAAGCTTTTTTTTGGCCAGTGGGAAGGGAGCCAAATGTCGATTGTTAGCGGGTCGACCCATCTTTGATTAACCTGAGTTAACACGTAATTTTCAGTGCGAAAGAGGCTTTAGATTAGTCCGTTTCATGTGTGACTCTGACGTCTGATTGGCTCCTTCACACTGAACGAACCACGATGGCTTCTTGCTAGTTTGCAATGACTCTTAGTTCCATATTTTGCCAGAAAGTGCATCAATATCTTTAGTTATGTGTAATGGGGATAGCAACTTTCAGACGGGAACAACATTAGCCCCGCATTCTGACTAACACTCGCTCCCATGTAGATATTTCGAGCTAAACAAGAAATAAAAACGGTGTTTTTATAAATAAAAGGATGATGTGGAGTAAGAGGTTGTTCTGTTCATAGTGGTGGGGGATGCTCATTGTTCACCAAAACAAATCTGAAAAAACTAGTTTGAAGCAACCAAACCTTAACCATTTGATCGCTGCCATGCTTCAACTATCCTGTACCCCAGCTAGTACTATAAAACCTAATCTGCTGGTAATAGTTTTTATTAAAATAGTCATAACAAGATCCAAACTCAACCGTATTTAATTCAAAACTACTATTCTATAAAGTTGGATTTATGTCATTTTTCAAATTAAAAGCCAGATTTATGCCGCAAGCTCCTTGGTCAAAAAGAGCAAAAAACTAAATAAAATAAAAAGGACAGCACTACCTCACATCGTCATTAACATGACTTGTAGGCTTGAGCTGAATTTCCCTATGAGGAAAATTGAAATGAAAAATGTCTGTTTTGTTGTAAGTGTGTGTGTGTAGGTGAAATCTGATTCAGGTTGTTTGTTCCAGGTGAACGAGCTGCAGAACCTGACGAGTGCGGAGGTCATTGTACCGCGGGACCAAACTCCTGACGATAACGACGAGGTCTTTGTAAAAATCAGTGGACATTTCTTTGCCAGCCAGGTACACAAACATCAATATGATATTTTGCAAATGTTACAACATCCTGTGGTATTTGACCCAATGGGGGCATTTACACAACCACCAACAAATTTATCAAAAGATGAGCACAAAACCTAATTTCAGCACTATGAAGCTAAATGAAATAACAAACAAAGCAAAAATAAATGAAAACGATGTTGCAAAGACACACACCAATGTTAGTGCAACTCGGTTCTATTAATGAAAACCCAAACCTTGCACTTTCTGATGTGTCAGCATCAATGGAGGTTTCTGATATGGGCCACATGCGCAGCTGCTGGCGGAGGGGGGCAGTATCACCACGCTAAAGGCGAAAATCCCTGAACCAGCCCATGAAGGGGAATGACTAGACTTATTTCATCAAGCGAAGAACATAAACTCAGTTTCACTTTCACTAATGTAAAAATATTGTTCCCGGTTCATAACTACTATTCACTATCTACAGCTTTTCCATCTCCTGGTGGTTATGTGATTAATGGAAACAGATTCTATTGGCTCTGAGGGTTCAGAGGACGTGTCAGTATAAGTATTTTGACAAGACTAAAAAAAGAATCCAACTCATTTAGTCTAATATCCACCTTACATAGCTAACATTTTTTCAAATCTAAATATTGATGCATCAGGATATGTATTTTTAAGGGCAATAACTTTCTGTGGTGTCCATGGATATAAGGACAGAAAATGATGTTTATCAGCTGTTTTTTTGTTGCACTTTTTATGTTAATAGTTGTAAAACTGTCTCTTTAGGGCAGAAAAAAATTGGGATAAATTAGCATTTTTATAGCTGTCTCTAAGTCCGATAATATTAGTTAGTAATATTGTTAATAATTAGTTATTTGAGGGTTTTTAATCTTTTAAATATAGAGAACTGCTTCTCTAAAAACATACTTTTCAACATATTTTACCATACTTTTATTTTTAACTATTTCATAGCCATTATTGCCCAATGTAAATCAATGAATTAAGTTGGGATAATGAGTATCTATGTGTGGCTGGATTTATTTACTTTAATATGAGTTTATAATGGCAATTATTATTTTAATAGCAAGTTGTAGCTTTGGTGGTGTAATTAACTATTGTTCCACTAATTTCTGCATGTTGTGGTGTTCAAAAAAATACATCTTTTTTTGGCATTTGACCAATTAAATGAGCCCTTGAATGATATATTACCTACTGTAAATTAGTTAACAAAAGTTAACAAGTGAAGAAAATAGGTAAAAAGCTAATTGAAAGGTTAAAAAGTAAATTTAAAAAGTTAATAAGCCTAGTTAAGTTATATTTAGGTTTATAAACAAAAAATATAAGTGCCAGTACCAGCATTATGCCTCTAAGATTATGTTGTACCAACAAAAAGTGTTTCTGTCACTCTCAGTGTTTTTCATGAATTTTGTTTATAGAAGCACTTTTGTTATTTTTCTTAATTTATTCAGGCAAGTTCTTCTTATTACATTGACATTCATTTTTGCCACCCGAATATCCATATTTTTTTTAAAGTTCCAAAGGTAATAAGGTCTTATCCTGCATTCCAATAACACTACTGGCTTGAAATTTTGATTTTGAAAGTATTTCACTGAGCGCCCTATAAAGGGTTAAAAATATTTGTGCAAAATATTTGGACTTGGTCTTGTTGACTTCATCCCTGTTGGTCATATGTTCAAGATGATGAGTAAACATGGAATCGTGTAGGTGATATCATTTTTTTTACAATTATTTTTTTTTCTAATGGTTGAGGAAAAAAAAAAAAAGAAAGAAAAGACTTTGGCATTGAGAAGAATTTAAAAGTCATTAAATCAGACTTAAAACCAGCTCATATCTTAACCAAAAAGGTCAGCACCATTTTTTACAGTTTTTCAGTTTATTCATTCCAATGGAGCCATTCCCCTCATTTTATTTTCTTACAAACAATAAATGTAATGTACAAGTTGGAAGTAATAGTCTTTCAGGCAGCAATACTTAAAGATTCATTAAGAGGTATTGAAAAAGGTTGCCTGATGGGACAAAAATAGTAAGACACTGGGCGTATTAAGTTTCTATCTATGAAATTACATTAAAACGGTTTAGTCATCAGTGTCAGAGGTTAGTAGACCTCCAGACAATGTGTCAATGTGTGGCCTTTTTTTTTTTTTTTTTTTACATAGATTTTTTGAAAGGAAACTAGTATTTGAATGTTTTTCATGCAGGGTAGTTTGTTTTACATTTTGCATGTACCAGATTGTCACCAGTCTGTTTGTTTCCTGCCACAGACTGCACAGAGGAAGATCCGGGAGATCATTCAGCAGGTCAAACAGCAGGAACAGAAGCACCAGCAGGGCGCCGCCGTGTCACCGCACCACTCCAAGTGACCCGGCCAGGCGGCTCCAGTGGGCACCAGCCAATGAATGTAGCCCTCCCAAAACGGACAGAGACTGAGCCAGACTGAGGCCAAGGCCAAGGGGGATGTGCAGGGCAGACCAGCAGCGGCGGCAACGGGATCAAAACCAAAGAACTTCGCTACGGGGGGAAACAAGTGAGAGCCAAAGGCTGAGGGCATTTAGTGCACTGCCAGCCCTGCAAGAGCAGACAGAGTGGGAGAAAACATACTGATAAAAAGACCAAAAAAAAAGCAACACATAAGAGGTGGGAACTGCATTAATTTGAAAAAACAATACATCTTATGGGTAAAAAATAACAAACAAAAAAACCCAGGATATGTCGCCCTGCATAACGTTTATCTCTTTAGTTGGACTAACATAGGCCTCAACTGATCAAACAAATAAACCTATTAACACGAGTGCATACAAGGCATTTTGGATTGACAGCGTGAGTTAGAACAAGAGCGACTCCTCTTTATGAGAGTATCCTTAGCAGTATTAATGCAGAGTAGAGATGTATATTGATACACTGAGAGTATGCACTGTTTTTTTTTCCCTCTATCCGAATGACAGAACCAACCTGGTGCCGTTTTAAATGTGGGAATCTGTTCAGTAGACTGAGCTGAAACAGCCACAGAAAGCGATCGATTTGACCCCCTTTTTGTTTGCTGAATTTAAAATCCCTGAAAGTAAACCTGATGAATGGTTCTGAGTTTTTTTAACAAGCCTGTGTGTGTGCCAACGCAAAAGATAACGTCCCCCTCCCTGCTACTCTCACTGTTCATTTCCCATGCTTTGCTCTTTTTCTTTATAAATTCTTTCTGCTAATTTCTGCTTTCATTGCTCTCATCTGGCATTGTGTTCTTATTGCAAAGGAAGATTTTTTTGCCTTTAGCCTTTTTGAGAAAAAAAAAATTGATTAATAACTGCCACTTTCTTGTTAAAGAAAGGTGAAATGAGAAGAATTGTATCACCCTCCATGCAGTGATGTCCTTATATTAAGAAGAGGCAATGACGATCAGAAAAAATTAAAAATAGATCAATCGCGTCTTAAAGAAGCTGCGCACCTTAGCTAGTGAGCAGGTAATCATTTGTTTCGAATGTGCACTGTCACACGCTTGGCCTTATGGGACGTCACAAGGGTCAACATGAAGGGGTTGAGTAGAGAGCCCAGAAAAGAGGACCTTGTTAGGGTGGGAGGGCGAAAACACTCATGGGCTTAGAGAACAGGCATGGGCCGGTAAATAAGAGATAGAATATGCTGTCAACACGTTTTAAAACAAAAAAAGTATTTTATGATCAAATTTCTTTATTTAAATCTACAAAGCAGCAAGCCATTCTACTGCTACTAAAATACTGTTACATATATTTATTATTACAGCTTTATTAAATATTATCTATAGCAAATATTCTATATTATGTAGATATATAGTACAAGGGGGGAAGTTGAGCTACTTTGTCCTCTGAACAGCCAGAGAAAACTCAGGTCACACAATCATTTTCTCGGATGTCTTAGATAAAAATAAGAGACTTTGGACAAGTCTGGCTGTAACTGTGTGAATATTATTAAAGTTAGTTTTGCTAGTGTCAGAAAGGTGCTGAAAATAATCATTAAAAGCACAATAGCTTTAAGCAATTTAGAAATGATCTTTTTTTGTTCATATTTTAATTTAGAAATGTCAGAGTGGAGACTATAAACTTTTCACCATTCCATTTGGTGATCATTTTGCTGCCTCAAACAGCATGTATTCAGCAAAACTAAGCAGATAACCGAATAGCTCAACTAAGTACAGCTAGTTTGCCATTTTCTACTCTTTTGAGTTTCATCCTATGCTATAAAAATGCAGGATTTAGAAATATTGGTAGTCTTTCCAAAATCTCTGGGTTAAATGTCAAATTTTTTTAGGAAACTGCAATAGTGTGACAATATAAGATCTGCCCCTAACTAGTTTTTGTAGTTTATGACTTTTTTCCCCTGTAAAATTTTGGTGAATGCATTGAAGGAAAAACACTTTCAGTAAAAAAAAATGCATTTAATCACATTTTCAGTTCCCCAATTTCAGTAAAATAGAAGGAAAATAAAAGACAAAGAACAAAACCATGATAAAAGCAGGTAATAAAGCAATTAAAACCATTCCATTCGTTAAAACAGTTTTGATAAATTTTTGAATTAAAAAACCTTTCTTGTGTTTAAAAAAACATGCAAAATAAAAAAAATTTATTATTAACATTTTTATTTAAGTTTTTTTTTAATCCCATCATACTTCATTGTTAATAATAATTTATAATTTCACAGCTGGAAGGAAAAAAAAAAAAAACATTTTGAAACCTAAACTTATATATCTAATTTCATTGTAATTCTTGAAGAGAAATAAGAATTATTCTTTTTTTTTTTAAACGGAGATTGGGCCCAAAAATGAAGAGTAGGAACAAATAATTTATAACTGACTTTATAAAGGCTTGATCCAGGTAACCGGCCCATGCCTATTGGTGGTTGGGAGGAAAGGGGCGGGGCTTGGCACCGTATGACCTGTGGTACACACACAACCGCAAACCTGACCGCATTGGCGTTTGGCTTTAACCCTCTCTTTGTCAGGGAGCTTTCTAAGAAAAAAACGGCATGACAGCTGTGAATGTACAATATGCAGCCTTTTTTTTTTAGAACACCTCACCTCCTGCCGTGTCCAGAAGGCCGGACCTGCCACACAGACTGTCACTCTCCCCTTCACTCTTTTAACCCCAACTTGGCATTTTTGAAGTAACCGTTTGTGGCCGGCCGCCTCAGTGAACACTCAGGACTCGCAGGTCATGGTGTCCTTTCGTGCTTTACTTTGGAAAGACAGTGGAAGCTTGTTGCCTTATTTTGTCACCTCTTAAACATCACCCATCAGCTTCATCTTCCAGACGCAAGGTTATTGCCAATACGCACAGCTTCCTCCGTGTGTGTCTCTGTGTGTGTGTGCGCGCACGTACGTATGTGTGTATGTATATATATATAAAAACAGAGTAATATTTATGAATCTATTTTTTCCTATTTGTGATGAGATCTATTGATAAGAAACGAAAAAAAGAAAAGTCTGCTTCTGTTTTTTCTTTCCCTCCCTCAATGGGACACTGCCATATTATTTTGAAGGGAAATGTTTATTTTCTTGAAAACTAAGACTATGAAAAATAATATAATAAGAAGAAACGATAAAAACCTGAAAAAATACAAGTCAAGTGAACCACGGCGTTAACTTTGGTTGGGATGTGAACAGTGCGCATGTCAGTATTGTGATCTACCTCAGGCTTCAGGGTACCTCAGTCCAAACTTTCATTTACCCCCTTATTTTCCACATTTTGTATGCCTTGTTAAATGATTATTTTGAGCATTTTTTTTTTTTTTAGCAGAGAAAAAAAAAATCTGTACACTTTCAGATCCAGCTGACTAGTGAAACTTTGCAAAACAATAATCCGCTGGACTGTGTTTGCCTGGACGCCATGCAACCTCTAACGTCCATTTTGTTAGAAAGGAATGAAGCATGGGATTTTTTATAGGGTAGATACCCGAAAGATCTTTGGTAAGAAAGACAGAAAGATACAAATCAGCTAGAAACTAACCAACTATACCTCCTGTTTTTCCCGACTTGACCTTCAGGTTTTTGTTTAAAAAAAAATGTAAATGAAAAAAAATGACGTTCATTGATTTGTAAGATATTGATAAGTGTTTTATACCAACCTGACCTAATCTCACAAGTTCCGTTTGATAGAAAAAAAATCACACATAGCAAACCGGATCTGATTTAGAAGAGATCAAGAACGCCGCAAAAATACACTGACAGAACCCTTAAACACGTTATAAAACCCAAGTCTGGAGTGCAAAATGTCAAAACAAGCCTAGTCGTTTGAAATGTCACTGTGCACGACAAGAAAAAAAAACTGTATATCTGTAAACATGTACAATAGAGCCACACATACAATGTTTTCTGTCGTTCTATAACATAAAGCATGGCGGGGGAGTCTAGAGCGCCACAGCTTTCCTTAAACTGACCTCCTAATTTGAATTTGGTGATATATTTTTTTGTGCTGTACATTTCAGAATCACCTCTCTAAATCCATGGCTGACTTTAGATACTAAAAAAATATGTGTGGTGAAAAAAAAGGAGGTAAACAAGTCATATAGTTGAAGTTTTTGTTTTAGAGCAGATTTCGTTTTCCCATTTGTTCGTGTAGGACAGCAGAACTTTAGTCTTCAGATGAGGTGGATCATTTTTGTCCCAGTGAACACAAACTTGCAGTACTATATTAAAGGTCTAACAAACTCACACAATGCCTGAGGCTGTTGTTGTTGCCGCCAGCCTCCCCACAGCCGGTACAGTACCTCATACTGATGATGAGAGCCCGCCAGACACGATTCAAAGTAACCCAACGCGACTGAAATGCAGTACGGTGCTCGGACTCCTCAGACAGTCTGCTTCACCTTTTGTAGAGCATGTTTCAGAGAAAAACGGCTTTTCATTGTAGCACTGATACCTCTACTGCTGCTTGCAAAGGTATTAGCATCCCTTAAACCTTTAGGCATTTTGTCACGTTAAAACAAGAAACTGCAATGTGTTTTATTAGCAACACAGGATGCTTCATTATTAAGGTGATTTTTAAGTCTTTTTTCAAATTCAAAATCCTTAAAAACTCAGCTATCTGTTGTATTTAGTGTTTTAGAAAAGATCTACTGTCTTTGCATGCTTAAAAGAAAAATAATTCAAGGTTCTCAGGTTGGATGAAGAGCATTCATGAACATGACTGAAGCTCTCTTTGTCCATGCTTTGGAGACATCATCCAAGAGGCCTAGTTTTATCTATTTGTTAAAAAAGATTTCACAAATGAATATCACTGCAAAAATGATAAAAATTGATTTCTTAAACTAAGTGTATTTATTCTTAATTTTAGTTGGTAAATTAGATGATCTGTCAATGGAATGAGTATGATTAGGCTTAAAATAAGGTAATTAGAAAGTATGCCCTTGAGATAAAAGACTCCAGTTGTTTTTTTTTCTTACCGTATTTTAAGTTTAAATTGCCTTATCCCATTGGCAAAGTGTCTTATTTACCTGCTCAATTCAAGAAAAAATGCACTTAATTTGAGAAACAGAATTTTTTTGCATTGTACCACCTAAAGCTTTGCTAAAAGAGATTTGGAACAACCAAATACCCTTTTAACTGAGGATCAGAGAAAGAGGATAAGGTGGAATCTTAGGTAGCAAGAGTAATTATCAATGTAGGAGCCAGAAGAAGGAATTTCAAATCTTTGTTGCAGTTTAAAAATGAAGAAAAAATCTATTTAAATGGGATGAAGGCATCAAAGGGAGGCCAGACTGACCCGAGGGAGCCAAAGCTGACATAAAAGACTGTGAGAGGTATTCCAAAAAAATGTCTTCTAACCTGTTAGAAGACATTTTTTTGGAAACTTTCTCAATTCTCAATTGTGAGAGGTACAGTAGCAGCCATTCAAAATTTCCCCACTTTCCTTGAAGTGCCAATGGTTGGTCCCCTACAATTCCTTTTTAAACATCAATCTTTGTACTTAAATACCCTTTCTGTCATGATTTGTGGACATTATCTAAAGAGAAACACCATCTCCTGGTCAGACCCTGTAATTCAGTGAAAGGGTGGAGTAAATAAATATGCACACACAGGAGAAGGAGGGGGTCACTCCAGGGGCTGGAAATTGGAGAGGATTTTGCTGGGAGTTGCAGGAAAGTGGGCGTTTGGCTGGGAAGTGCCATTTTGAAAGGCTACTACTGTATATATGTATATAATAAGGCTGAATGGGGTGGGTGACCTCTAAATGCAGTTGGTTTCATTAAGTTTTATTTAGAGCTATCAGAGTTAATTGAGCTTTATAAAAAATCACGCAAAACTTTTCATACTTGCTTACAAAACACTGAAAAATCTGTATTAATTTCCATCGACTTCACTAAAGCCCACAGTAGTGTTACCCTAATATGAAAGAAAACAGAAGAAATTTCTTGGTTGTAACGTGACAAAATGTGGAAATTTGTTTTGGAAAAGGTTGAATACTTTAGCAGGGCACTGTAGTTTGTTATCTTATCCTCTTTGGATACGTTTCATAGATCATTTTTGACGTTGTGGCTCTTTTTCCTGCATTGCAGAGGACTCTGCAGGCCTCTGTCTCTCTCTCGTGTTTTTGGCTCTTTATAGGCGCAGGTTTCCCTCCAGCTGGATCACACTGACTTCATCGCTTTGAGAAAAATCATCCTGGATGTTTACATGGTATGAGGTGAAACCTGCAAGGAGCGTAGTAACTTTTTTCTTTTTAATTATTTTTTTTAAGGATTGGTATTTCTAGCTATTGTGGGGTGTTAGGCATTCGTTTTCAGTACCATAAAAAAATAAATCCTAGTTAAACACATCACTAAGGGTGTAAAGTGTTGTTAGTCATATCACACGGTGGATAAATAGCTAAGGTTTTCTTTTGTTGTCTGTTCTGATCTGGTTTCTTGTATTTCACTCTGATTAAATGATGTAGTCTGGAGCTGTAGCTGGGAATCTAACTCTTCATTCCTGTTAGATCGCTACCATTAGAACTAGTTAGGAAATTGTGGTGGGGGAAAAAAAAATCATCCTAGGTAGGATTGTTTAAACAGATAATGAAAGATAAATACAAAGTTGGAGTGTTGAAAGTACCCAGGCCTGATTCAAAGCTCTGAAGAAATGGTTTTGAGTTTAGAAGACGGATCAGAGGTCGTTCGGCGCCGTCTGATACCCTCTGAAGCAGGTCAAATGTATGCAGAAGCCACAGCAGTGTTTTTGTTGCCCTGTCATGTTGTTGAGTGGAAAACATTGCATGAGATTGATGCAGGTAATCCAGTATGTACTACACTTCACATCGCACTAGACTTGGAATTGTGTTTTGTTTTTATTTTTTTTTTACAAGGATCTAGTTCTTATCTGCATTTTTCACCATCTGGGAGATTCATTTTGTTTCTTGGTAGATTAAAACCCTCAATGTTACCCACAGGCCAACAAGGCTCCCAACACCAGGAGGTAATAATAATCAGTGGCTGCGTTAGAGGGACATCTGAACCATTGTTTACTACCACACATATGGGTCAATGCCTTTCTGGTTACCAGCCAAGCTGTTGTTTTGAGTTATGAGTGAACTGTATTGCTGAGCAACCTGGATCTGAGCAATAAAGAATATCTGAAAGAAGAGCTTGTTTTTGTTTTTATTATGTTGAACACTTACACAGGAAAGAAAATAAATCACTCACTGTAAAAAAAGTCCTCAAATTAAAACAGCTCTCCCTACAGGAGAAACCCTCATTACACAATACTGCAAGGAATTTAAATAATAATAAATATTCCAAATCAATTATTCCCTCCAAATTATCTTTACACAAAAAGCACCTGTTACATTTCTTGACATCCTAGTAAACATACTTTTAGGGAAAAAAAAGTCTACCTCACAAGGGCTTCTCTGATACCAAAAAGACAGCATGTTTTATTTTCCTATAGCATTTAACAAGGCTGTGACATCTATTCAATGATTCTATGTGGATTTGGCCCTAGTGGTATGAGTTTTCATTTAAAAGGTCCTGACATTTTAAAGGCAGTGTGATGCTATCCACAAAATGAGATCTTGAGGACCTTTATAAAAGAAATAAGCTCACATGATCGCCATCCACTCTATTGAATGGCGGACAGGAGTCATTTTCCATGTATTCATCCCTTGTTCACATCTATAGTGTTTGTTGCCAAACAGCTTAATATAATTAGCGTCATCGAAGCAAAGCATCCAGTTAAAGTCTCTGCAGACATTAGAAACACGATTTTGTTTGTTACGGTATGAAAGGTCCTTCTTGGGTCTAATTTTAGTTTGGTTCTACAACTATGCAACACTTTAAGGTCAGATTATTTCATCTTGCACTGGTCACTGTTCAGGGTCTATTGTTCTAAAGTTGTTGTTTTGTTTTTGTTAAATTTTCTCTGAAAGTACAAAAGAGAAGGTTTAGGGCAGGTAGCTTTTTACCTGAACCTAAAACCTGGATCTTAGATATTAGTTCTCTTTTCTTATCCATTTTAAATACAATAATTAAAAGGTCATTTATACTGTTAAGCTTTAAAAATAAGAATAATTGACATTCATTCTTATAACAGTTGATACAGACATTACAAGCTGTTACAGCTATAATTTTGTAGAAAGCAAAATAAAAATGACCTCAAGTGACATTCCTTTGCTTACAAGCTGATTGGGTGTAATCTTTTTTTCTCCTAGTTAGTTAACAGTTAATTGTTAACAAAAAACAAAATTGTAAAAAGAGATCTCAGAAATATGACAGGTGTTGTCAGATTAACACAAGATGTCTTGGTAAATATGAACATTTCATGACATTAAAAACCATGTTCATCTCAATGATAAAAAAAGGCAGATGCCAACACTTCCTTCCAAAACATTACAGAAAACATACCTGTACCCAGAGTAAACAGCTTGCACGCGTGATTATAAAGAGGCAATAAAGAGAAGGTACCTTAGCTTTAAAAACTCTAAAAATAACATTTTAGATTTTGAAATACTGGGCTGATAATGCATGTCCTGAACATTAAAATCAGTGTTCATGACTATAAGGAGAACTCGCAATCCCTGTATGTGGTGGGGAATCGTGCAGGTTTTGTCAAAAACAGAACAAATCCTTCATGAAATGGGATCGTTCCCGAGCACCCACAATGGTCAACATTTGGCCTCATAGTTCTGATCTATTTTCTGCTCATTTAAGGCCTGCTGTGTTTCAATGTTGAACAGTTGAATTTTCAGTTATTAACAGCACATCTATAAACTCATCAGACAGTTATCAGAACCATAAAGCAGGGCAGGCCTTCAGCGGGTCACAGAGTCCATGGAGGTAGAATTTTAAGGCCAGAACTGCAAAAGAGGCACTTTGGATACAAAGTTTAAACAAACAGTCTGAAGACATTTGTTTAAAGGCTTTCTCTCCTCATTATTACTATAAAATTCACATTTTACCAAAGCACTGTATCCACAAAACACCAGAAAAGAAACCCATCTAATACATTTGTAGTTTTCACAAGAGCAGTAATTCCAAACGCCTGAAGGGGCAAAGCACTCCTGAACAGGAGAAAATGTAAGATAATAACATAAATCAACTGTCAAAGTTTTTTCTGAACAGCAGCCACCCTGAACAGGTTTGCTCTGGAGAGCAAAAGGCATCAGAAAACTCAGTGGATTAAAAACTTAGAGAGTCATTGACCCTTCCTATCCGTGTCCACTCCATTCTGGGGTTGTACGCCCAGTTTGAGACGCCTCTGGCTGAAGCGTCGTATGAGGGCGCTGGGCACCAGAGCCACGCAGGCGATGGCCAGCAGCTGCAGGAGGCGCTCCCAAGAAAACAGGTCGTCCAGCGATGACACCTCAGACAGCATGACACCAGTCTGTACGCAGATGAAGTTGTAGGGCAGCAGGCCTGAAAATGAGTCCCAACATGTCAGAAACAAACCATAAGGAGCCAGAGCTTAATTGACTCATTTAGAAGGAATATCAAACGGCATTCCCAAACCTTGTTTAACAGAGAATCAGGACTTTCAATAACGTTTCAGAAACAATTCTCTAAAACTAAAAGCAGCACACAGCGACATTTACCTATATCAAATCAAAATAACTTAAATTGATGGACTTTCAAATTATTTCAAACAGCATAGTTACATGTTTGAGCTGAAAGCATGTAACCTACCAGATACACAGTTATCAGCTCCATCTGGATATCACTGGTCATTTCCATGCTACATACATATTATATGATGAAACTTTAGGTGATATGATGCACGATTACCGGTAACTTAAAGCTCCTAACCACTTAAATCTTTGTATTCACAAATTTACAAATGAAGTTTCAGAATCAGATGCGAATATTGGAGCCAACTAAAGTAGGTTTCACTTTTTAAAGACATTCACACCATGCAGTGTCTGAATAAAGCCTACTTACAATTTTAAATGTAGGCCTAGGATACAACTATCAGTAACAAGCTAAATCTCTAGAAATACACCGTTTCATTCTAAGCTAAACACGGAGCAAATGTAGATGGGCCAGTATCATCTATTGTTATGGGAAATTAACCTACGACCAGATTTAATATTGAACTGAAAACAATCAGCTGAAAACTGCCATTGATTTTTGCATAAGAGAATATTCACTTCCCTTAAGGTGTACCGTATATTATAGCTATCAAGGTTTAAAAGTCTATTTTTGTGAGGAGCTCGTATAGCATGGCTACTCCGCTCTCGACTTTAATCGATTTGCAGCAGGCTCTGCGTTTTTTGGGGGGTCTTTTGAAAGCCATTCTTTGGCAGACCATGCATCCTAAATTTGGCATTTTCTGTGACCTGCATTAAGCATCGACTCTGACTCAACATGAGTCAATTCACCTATTTACCTAAACTTCATGTACAGCTGCATATTATGTAATGCACATAGAGAGGAAATGCAAGAATGCAGCAGCAAACCAAAAAATAGTAACTTTCAAGGTAGGCGTTTCCTTCCATTTCTGGACTCCAGGGATCCGACATTTTCCTGAATTTAACAGCTTTCTGTCAGTCTATTTTGGCAGGACTGTGTAGAAAAGTCCTTACTTCTCCTCACATACATAGATCTTAGTGCCAGCGGCAACTTTCTCTTCCATTGGAGGGATTAAGAATGAAAACAAAAAGCTTGTAAACAAAGACATATGCTTAAAGTGAATTCCACACTGTCAAAATGTTATGAAAACCCAGGCCTTACTATTCTATTACTGATTTTATTTAGTTAAATACAATCATGATGTTTATGTCAAAATGATCTGGAAAACATTTGAAGTAAATAAATAAATTAGTTTTCTCCACAATGTAGAGTGGATTTAACTCTAAGCTCCAAATAGACCAGGCCTAACTGCAAAGAAAGCAGTAAGATCTTTTACAAAACAAGGTGATAATCCAAAGATTTGTAAGCAACACCTACCAATAAATACTGAGCAGAAGAAGAATGTGATAGGGATGTTGACTATTGGGGCAGACATGTTCAGGAACCAGTTGGGAGTCATGGGAAAAAACCTCAGGAAGAGCAGGAAGAAGAACAAACAGTCTCGATTGTCTTCCACCTGTAAACGACAATAATAAAACCTTAGATGTGCAGCAAATTTTTTTTGTAAAGTTACCCTGAGCTTTGAACACATTTAATCACAGAGCAACTGCATACTTTAGTGTGCTTTACTGATATTTTGAGAGATTGACTATAACAGTTAATACATATGAAGGGGATGGAAAAAATAAAACAAAACATGGATTCATTCAGTTTTTTTTAAACTATAACTTGTGACATACATTTATATTTAGCCTGATTTACTCAGCTATGTCTAAATTAAACCCTGTGCCGATAATTACTGTCAGAAGGGAACTCGTTAGTAGAGCTTCCTAACATAAACTCAATCCTATAAAGACTGACTATTTGTTTGCTACTGTTGCTATTTGATTAGAAGCAGGGTGCGTAACAGCATAATGTGGCAGCAAAAAATGATTGGATAAAAGTAGTAAATGAAAGGCCAATTAAACTAGATCCCTTCCCATGAAGCAAAGAAGGAAGGTGTTAGGTTTATTCTTTATACATCATGTGCATTGTTTCTTTGTTAGCCAGATTAGACAGAATAGAAGGCCTTCCTTCACATGGTGGATGTCACTGTGTGTACGGAGGCCATCTAATCAGGAACACCTTCGTGGCTTTAAAAATACACAGGATATGGGCACATCTTGGAGCCGGACTGATAAAGGAGAGCTATGTGTAATCCTGGGGTAAAGAGGCAAGATGTATAAAGGTCAGGGCATGGATGGCGTGTCAGTTTCTGATACGGACAGCTGAGCATCCACCTGATGCAAAACATGGACTCATCAGGTATAAGAAGGAGGTGATGACCTTATTCGGGGCTCAATCTTTGCCGGATGCTCGCTGACGTTTTTTGAGTCCACAGCTGTGCCAACTCCAAGCAATTTCTCTGTCCTGTAACGACCTGACCTGGAATAAACACTGTTACTTTTTTACTCCTGTTTTATAGTCCTTTTTTATATGGTTTTACCCAGTTTGAGTTAATAGTAGTAAAAAAGTAAATAAATAAAGAACCGGTGGGGAAGTTCCGAGGCGCAGCTGCCTTCAGGGGGACCTAACTTCCATATTTAACAAAAGGTAACGGATGATATTTCTATTAAACCAATCAGGTTGGAAAGCTGAATAAACAACCTAATGCACACTGTGTCTGTCTGTGTGGATGTGACACAATTCAGGTTTCTGATGAACAGGAAACTGTTCAGATCCAAATCATGAAGTAAAATCTTTTAGCCAAGGCAGTCTGAGGATGTGTGCTGGAAATACTTCAACTCAATCTAAATCTTTAATGTTCCTTAAATCCATAAGCTGAAATCCCCTTTATTAGCCCTCATGCTGGGATTGACCAGAAAGCCTTGAAGGGTTGGAAACAGTTTTAGCTCAAATGCTAAACATGCTTACATGCTAAACACAACTGATTGTCCATTGAAAATATTTCTGATGTTTCCAACTTAATTAGTTTCTGGTGATGACGACATTTCGCTAAAGAAAGGGGAATTCCCTGATGTTCCAGGGAACTGAGCTGGAGCAAGGCAAAGAAAAAAACAGACCAAGAAATCAAAGTGTCACAGCAGGTGTTAGAGGATGTCCAGTCTGAGAGCACAGGTCTTCAGGCTCATGAATTGAAACTCTTCTTCACTGTAGAGTCGTCAGCCAGGGGATTTCCTCACCTTTCTGTCTTTGCCTCCCTTTATCCTGCAGTCTTTGGGTACAACCAATTTGTTCCTCCATTCTGCCCCTGATATCTTTATTTTACCACCTTTAGCACCAGCATTTTGAGGTACCATATTTATGGCTAAAAACAAAAAGCCTACAAAACTGTGTAGATTTGTATTATAAAAAAAATAAAAGCTAAAACGTTTTTGTGCTTTATGTTTTAGAAATTGTATGTGCAGAGCTTCTTTACCTTTTTCTGCAACATGGAAACTTTATCTGGAAAGAAATTCACGATGTAACGTTTTCCGAAGGATTGGGACAGCAGGAAGCACATGGTGGAGCCCACAGTGGTGAGCACACAGGCGAGAAGCAGCCCTTCATACGGTCCAAAGATAGCTCCTGCAAGAATGTTCTGCAAAATGACAAGCAGAGATGAAAAGGCCTGTTGTTACCACTTTACTTCACTCTAAGTGAGAGAGGAGGGAAATATTTTAAGAAAAAAAAAACAGTTTGAAGTGTCAGGTGAGAGAGGCAGTGCGTTTTGATTCTCATTCAGCTGTAAAGAAAATAGTAAAAAGGAGCAAAAGAAACTGAGCAGTCATCAGTCCAGTATACGGGTCAGGAGTTTTTGTTCTGATTTTCCCTACCTTACATGTTCTTATCTTAAAGGGAGATTTGGAGTTTGTAATATCAATTTTACCTTTAAAAGACATTTAGTACCTTCAAAGCTTTCCACTTACCAGGAAAGACGATCCAGGGATAGCAAAGGACTGCTTGTAGAGATATGCGCTACAGAACAGGAGCAGGACATATCCAGTGTGCTCCGTTTTGTAGAACTGCAGGAGCTCAGCCAGTTCTCGCAGCTCTTCCAGGTCTGATGGGAACTTCAACCTGTCACAAGAGTCACTCTCAAGTTAGATCAAAAATTAATAAACAAAAAAATCAGGCACAGATAAATAAACTGTTAAGAGGATTTTACAGAGCTGCCTTCTGTGTTCATAAGCGACACTTGTGCTACTGACTATCAGGACATTTACAGTGTATAATATAGATCTCATAGTGGTGCCAAAAGGAGGAGATGGGGTATGTGCAGTGTGTGTATATATATATATATATATATATATATATAAAATAAAACAGCTGATGTCTCTTTGCACAGGTTATTAAATAGAGATTGCACAAGTTGTTGCAGATTTAAATAAGGCAGCAGCTAATAGAGGACTCAACAGTATACATACAGTAATTATATTGTAATACATACACTTTATGATTAATACCATCTAACCCTTTTTTTCAGAGAAATACTTTAAGCAAACAATCAGAACTTTTCTCATTTACAGTATATGAAATGAACAACACAAAGCCACTTGCAGCAGACTTTATTAAGGGTCTATGACACCAGGATGAAATCATTAGTATTTAAGGAAGAAGACCAGCTGGCTGAGGTAGTGTGATGCTTTATACAATGTTGTGCTGGTCCCTGCCTACTATGAGTGTATCATAACAAGTTTGGTTAATGTCAAAGTAATTAATTTGCTGTTGATGTGCACATTTCTCAAGGAAGCTGCATCTCCTGAGAGCTGCAGCCTCCTTCAACAGGATAAGTGGCTCAAACACAGAGTAAAAATGGTTCAGGGATACTGGGAAAAGCACAACAACAGGCTGGAGACTTTCACATGACCTCCAGTTGGACATCAGTGGGGTTTTGGATAAACAAGTTAGATCTATGGAGGCATCATCGTGTTCCTGGATCTGATCATAATGTTATGTTAAATTACAGCTGGGGCACATCTAACAGAAATCTACAATGCAACCAGACAATCAAACATCAGTCGCTTTAGATCTTAGACTGCTGGATTGAGGAAAGTACTGGTTGTTTAAAGTATTTCTCAGAAAAATGGGTACTTTAATTACTTTATATATAGTCCTTCATTAGCCGCTGACTAATTTAATTCTGGCTAAGAGCTAACTGCTAACACCGGAGAAGGGGGGGTGGTTTACCTGCCGAATCCGTCGGAGGTGACACTGCTCTGCTCGGACTCTCTGCCTTCCACATCTCCAGCCTCTGGACCCGGCTGAGGACGTCTCCGTGGTCCCGCTGGGAGGTACAGAGACAGACAGTACAGGTACAAGCTGGCTGCGGTCACAACAGCAGCTAGCCCGACGAGGGAGCGCATTCTCCTCGATAGAAGGACCGACCCAGCTCTTCTTCTTCTCTCTTCTTCTTCTTTTATTTATGGTGGTTGGCAAATTCTTCTTCTCTCCTTCCTTAATGTTATTGTTATCCCTCGTGAACAGAACAACGGCCAGCCGCCGCGGTGACGTCACCGACGACGTTAGACCTGCGTCAACCGTCTCAGCTAGTTTAAAATTTATTTTAAGCATCGGTTCATAATCCATCCATACATAATAACGCAGAGAATAAAAAAAATATATTATATATATATTATATATCGAAATGGAGATAAATGGTAGAGTTAATTAGCTTCCGCTCCAGATGGGGGCGATAGTCCACAGCGGAAACAGCTGGAGGGCAAAATGGTAATAGCGGACGAAGTTAGTATCAGAATCGTAGTTAAAGGCGTTAAGCGTCTTAACTTACCTTATAAATAAATGTTCACTGGGTAAAACTTACCTATCTTATCTGATTAGTAGAAATGTACAGGTTTTTAAAAACACGCCCTCCTAAAGAGATGTTGACACATTGTGCACTTTAAAACATCTATTTACAAGCACTGAACTGTGAACTTCATGTATTTATTAATCAGTGAACTAAAATGTTGTTTTAAATATACTTTTCACAATGTACTTACCTTAAACTAAAAGAGCAGACTGAATAGTTTATTACAAGTAAAATAGAAATATACCTGGAAGAATAGTTTAGGTGTACTTTGATAAACTAAAAGTAGACTTGAAAGTTATTAATCAATATGAAAGACAATTTTAAGTACCCTATACTTGGTGTACAATTAAAATAGGCCAGTTTGGTATATTTTTTTAGGTCATTTCTAGTATACTTGCAACAATGTACTTGGTAATATATGACTATACATTCAAACATGAACTTAAAGTATACTTGGATTTAATAATACTCTCATAAGCTATTTGTTTGATTTTATTTCACCTTGTTTCACCTATTTAAAAAAGCAACAATGGGAGAAAAAAAGGCTAAACCTAACTTTTTTAAACTTAACCTTTGACCTTCTTCCCTACCACCAACCTTACTTAGTTTGGCTGTGAGAGGCTAAATCCCTTCCTCTGCCTACATCCCCCAGAATGCTTTATGTTTCGGATTTAGGTGAAATTACAGACTTTCAAACATATTTGCCATCGGTATTGATCAGTTGTCTGTTGCGATACAGACGGTCCAACCCTATTTTTTTGCTGTCGAATTTTGGGTTGTGATAATGCCTGGACACGTTGGTAGTTTGTTTAAATGTACATCTGTACACAAGGGTGTAACTTTGTGATGAAAGTTGGTGGGGAAACTCTAAGGGTGGGGGCTGATGGGCCTACAGTTACTCCACACAAACGCTTTCAATAGGGTTTGTATTTTCCAAAAATGAGCTCAAAAGAACCAAAATACACTGATATCTATATGTATGGGTAGTTAGACATTTATGTATATAAAAAAAGGATGAATAACCGCTGATGCCCATGCACTGCCAAAAGCAATATCATGCCTTCCTAGGATGGACACAATTTCAGTTTCATTCATCCATCCATCCATCAATCCATCTAGAAAAATGTGGATTGATGGATGCATGTTTTCCCTTTCAGTTGCATTAGTGAATATCCTCCTTCAAAAGCAGCAAAATCAAAATTAGAAAATTGTCCCACATATTGTTGAGAGCCAAAGTCAATATATTGAAATTATTGGTGGGGACATGTCCACACCAGTCCTTCAGAAAGTTACGCCTGTACAGTATTTTTGTACATTGAAGTGACTGCTTTGAAATTATTTTTAGACCTGCTTTAATTTCTTAATAGAGTTCTAAGTTTCTACATTAATGTTCCCATAATGTGTGCTTAATTAGTTTAAACTGTGTGTAATTTAAAGAATGTGATATGATTTCTTTCTTTCTTTCTTTCTTTCTTTCTTTCTTTCTTTCTTTCTTTCTTTCTTTCTTTCTTTCTTTCTACATAATTAATCATATCTGTTAATTGTTGAGTGATGGTGTACAGGTTTGATCTGGATCTTTTATTTGGAGCTGTCACTCAAAATGGGTGAAACAGCCCTTTATAATGAGACTGTGAATCAGACACTGACTTTACCTCCTCTGATAAAGTAGTTCTACGGTTTCAAAGTTCAGTTGTTGAGCAGAAGAGTTGCAACAACAACAAGAAGACTCTGTTGAAAAATCATGGCTCTGTACAGCCGAGTTTCAGGCTCTGTCGGTGTGATTACTCTGCAGAATCCTCCCGTCAATGCACTGAGGTGAGAAACGTGCTGCGGATTTACTTCAAAGAGCCTCATTTTCACAAACGGGATTGTTTGCAATGACTGCTGACCTAGAAATAGGTGATCCAGAAAATACATTCCATTGTCAGATTGTGCAATTCCTTGAAAGAATCTGCAAAAAAAAAAAAAAGTTAACGAATGCAAAACAAACAGGGGCTCCGCCTCTGACTGTATTGGCCCCCAAAAAGCTTTCAGTTTTTTTATTTTTTTAACTGAACAATAATAATAAAAAATATTCTGTATATACAATGTGTCACACATTGTAATAAAAAGTAGTTATGTAATTAATTAAATGTGGCATTATGCCAATTAATTTGGAAACAAACAAACAGAAAAAAATCAATTTGTAGCTTATTTCTAGAAACAGCTGTAGGCCAGCCAATAAAATGTCAGGGTTGATTGATAAGCCAAAGTTATTGTTTAAATAATTTCATATTGTAGGAATCTCTGGACAAATAGAAAATACTTTAGTATTTTTCGATGATAAGCGTGTTTATTAAATTTTAAATGACTGAATTTTAATTTTAATTTTGATATCTTTTGTTAAGAATTTATTAAAACATTTATTGTATTCATTTATAATTTTTTTTACCATGTCCTTTTTGAATTTGAATATCATGCAATTAATACATATTTTAATTAGGATGATAATTTATGACACTTTACATACATCCTTAATCTTACTGGAAGTTATAAAAAGATTCTAAAAAGGTTCTGAAAACTGAACAGAGTTTGAAAAGTTTCTGTTTGGTTAAATAAACAAAGATTCTTCCATTAGTAGAATTGCTTGTAGTTGTAGCTGCATCTGTTATAGTTAATTACTACAGAAATAAACAGCCTTTAAAATAATTACTTTAAGATTAGTCAGGAGTTATTTTTGTTTTTATTTATTTTTTTGTTTGTTTTGGCCAACAAAAGTAGGGTATCTATTAAATAATATTACAATGATAATAATAGAAAATGATCCTGATCTAATGGATTGGGGCCTCTGTGGTAAACAAATATTCTCCAAAAAGCAGCAAGTTTTTCTTTTCAATCTCAGAATTTCTAAGATGTTCTGTCCCTCACAGTGGCATAATGCTTTTCCATATAATCTGCCTATGATTTATGATTGAATGTGTCATCCATGAAGAATAATCTTAACACGATCAACATACTTACTCTGTTGCATCATGTTACTTTACATTTTTATGCACAACTATTGTGGTCAATTGCTTTGCTTTTGCTATCTCTCCCAATGTAAGAGTTTAAACTCCACTTGCTGATCTAACTCATGTGTTCTGCCCATCAGATAACTCTTTTAGACCAAAGCATGATCTGAGTGCCTACAATAATACACCTTAATTAATCATTTACTGTTAGCTGCATGAGAGCAAAGCAAACTGTCAGGAGCACACTGTTAACATTTCAGCTATTAGAGTTGTTCTGTTTAAACTTGTTATAATAGATGCTTGTGTTTACTTATTATTCTTGATATTTATTTTCTTGAAAAGGCTAGCAGGGTTCACTTTTTCAACAGTCTTTACAAAGAAAAAAATGCACTATTTGCCAGGCACTGGGTTTCTAACCGAAGTGGGGTTGAAATGTGCAGCAGGAAGATTACGATGTTTTGGAAGTTCAGTTTGGAAAGTTTCAAATCTGCTCTTTCTGTTTCTTGCTGCAGTGCTGCTGTGAGGCAAGGCATTGTTGATATGATGCACAGAGCCCTCAGAGAGCCAGAGGTGAAATCTGTGGTAATCTGTGGCCAGGATGGGAAATTCTGTGGAGGTACGACGAACCTCTGTTCCTCATCAGGATTCAAAACGGAAAACAAGTCTATTTTCCTAATTACATTTTCTGTTCCAGCTGATTGTATTTGCTAATGAGTCACTGTTAATGTGTGTTTGACCTGATTTAATGTCATGTTTATGTATAACAGGAGCAGACATCAGAGAGTTTGGAGCTAAAATGAGCGGCCCTCCTCTGGTGCCAATGATCCATATGATCGAGGCAGCAGCCAAACCAGTGGTGGCAGCCATCGAAGGGGTCGCTTTAGGCGGAGGCCTGGAGTTAGCGCTCAGTTGTCACTATCGTATCGCGCACTCTAAGGTCAGTTCACGCTTCAGGTCCCTGTGTCTCTGTTAGTCAGTGTCTTTGTGTTGACAGTGTAAAGCTGCATCACCGTCTAAGTGACAGGTTTATATTTCATAATACTCAACTACTGTCGCATAAGTTCAGTTCAGTTACCATTTCACAAATCACAGATAAAAAAAAATAAAAAAAAGTTCCCTAAGACAGAGTTAGCTTTATTAATTCTAAAAGCAAAATTATTCTATGATCATGTCCAAAACTATTGGACAGATTCTTTTTCTCTATTAAATGTTGTAGTAATGCTTTTATGGGGGGGTACAAAAGATAATTCAGAAATGCTAAATTGTTAAATTTTAAGATAGTATTTTAGATAAATGTCAATATATTGATCAATCAATATCTTTTCTATGATGCTAATAAACAATGCTTGTATTGCAATGGTATTCATAGTTCTTGAACCTTTATACTTTTGCCCCATGCCAAACCCTTACCTCAAAATATTTTCAAATGAATTTATGTGAAGATCTATACAAATGTATGCATGGTTCAAATGATGCATTCTTTTGTTTCATTTTAGAAATAAGAACCCCAAATTGCATTTATATTTGCATATTTTACTAAAATACCTCTGCAGTAATTCTAATGCTACTAGTTGCTTTCATCTACTAATTATTAAAGATGGGAAAACTGCAGACCTTATTGTCAGTACTAATACAGCTGTTATTTGAAGGCCTCAGTGGTTTGCTGCAGAACATCTGAGATCAAGCAGAATAAAGTTGTAGAGAACATTAAAGTGGGTTTAGGTTCAGATATTTCAATGTTTGTTTTTTAAATTCAACCTGCTGCATCATGCTGTGGGGATGTTAGAGCAGGGGAGGGAGGGGAAGTCTGTCAGAGCTGATGGGAAGATGGAGGAAGCTAAATACAGGACAACTATTGGAAGAAGATGTGTTAGAGGCTGCTAAAGACAGGATGGAGGCTCACCTTAAAGCAGAATAATACCTCGGACAGTTGATGGAAGAGTTTAAACAAATCACCGTATTATTACTGAACCAAAAAGTTTGGACTCAAGTAAATGACTGTCTGGGAAAAGAAAATCAGGGTTTTATTCTTTGTATAAATTTCTTTATGATATGTTTAATGAACACAGCGTATTGCATTTAATGAATCATCCTCTTTCAGGCCAGACTTGGACTTCCAGAAGTGACTTTGGGTCTGCTGCCGGGTGCAGGAGGAACTCAGCGTCTCCCGAGGCTCATTGGTGTCCCGGCTGCCTTGGAGCTCATCACTACTGGTACAAATACAAATGCTCCTAGTACAGATACACCAGTTACTATGGAATTGATGCGTTATTTTGTTGTGCTCCAGAGCAGTTGAGTGTTTTAAATAATTAAAAAGCTTTACAGCTTTTCTGTTTATCCATCAATTTTTCATCAATGCTGGTCTCATCAGTTAAAGTTATTTAATCGTATCAACTGCCAAGAATACAAAGATTGAAAAACCTGGATTGTAAAGTTTTGGAAAAAAATCATTTTCTGATTTGAGTGGTTTTGTGAATGCGATATCATCATATGGACTTGGAGAAATATGTTTTGAATTTTCATTGCTATAAAAGGTTACAAGTATGGAGGACCAAAAGAGTCACTGAAAAAGAAAAACAGCCATTTCAAATTAAATCATACAATTAGTTATCCAATTTGAAAAGCCTTTTCTAATTGCACATTTTAAATAATAAATGTATGTAACATAACAGCAATGTTTTTGGTATGTGAGAGGAATCCAGGGTACCCAGAGAGAACCCACGCATGCACTGGGATAACATGCAAACTCCATGCATAAAGACACTGGGCTGGGAAACGAACTCAGAACCTTGTTGCTGCAAGGCCACAACATTAACCACTTCTCCACCGTGCATCCCTAATAAACTATTATCTGCAATTTGGGAATTTACTTTCAAACCCTCTTTCTAAATGGATGTTTAAAAACCATAATTCTTATATTGAATTATAAATAACTCTCATAATCAAACATTTAAAAATTGAATTCCCTATTCTGTTTCCATTTTCTTTTTCACCTTGCATTTTTCAAATCATTTTTGCAGTTGCACTTTGCAGCATTCTTTTACTTTTGAACATTGTGAAACCAGTTAAACCAATTGTACTAGTACTTTTGCTCCTCAGATGTAATCACCTCCCCCATTAATAAGACTGCTGCACTTGGTTCACTAAATGACCAACAAGAACGTTAAATATGAAATGTGTTGTCATTAGTTAATAAGGTTTTCTCAAAAATTTGAGAAAGTAAACAAGTTACTCCAACCTCTAGGGGGCAGTGTCCTGCAACCATATGATCCAAACCAATCCTAATTGAATTGGGCAATGTCAATTAAAGAATGCAATAGCAGCAACCCTGGTCCACTTTATATAAACAGGACTCTTAAAGCAAATGAAATAATGATATTTCATTGGAGTAATTACATTTTTGGATTACATGGAAAAAGAAAAACAGCCAAGAGAACATTTGTTTTTCTGTTTTTTATAATCTCATCTAAAGTTTCTGGAATAATATTTACATTGGATTTAATTTAGAGGTAACAGAGTAAAGCGGGGTTGATACAAACATATGTTGTGCTTAAATTACAAAAAATTAATCAAAATAAAAGAGCTAAAGTCTTGATAAAGCAGGAAAGTCAAGTGTACATCCAAATGAAAGTGCTCCATTACTTAAGTGTTCAGAAATGTATGTGCAAAATATTTTTGCATGAGGTAAAGTTTTTCTCCCAAACAGTAAATTAAACATTCTGGAGGTTTATGCTCTCTTCACTCCTGACATAAATTGACATAAAAATTATTAGAGAGGGATTAGTGTAATCTGACTGCGTCCACCTGATTTAGAGTATCAGATGGAACTTTATGGGGTCTGAAATTCATTTTAGCAGCTACATGTACTACCGCCTCTGTCCAGCAGGTGTCAGCACATGGTAAGTTTTACTGACTCCATGTATCCCTCTAAAGTTTCAGCTCCTTTTCACTTATAAGAAATGATAAGTGAAATGAATGATTCAGACATCCCCAAACTTTTTATTAAAATGTTTGAGCTTCCAATCCATTACTTTTTTTTTTTTGTAAATGTAGTTTCTTCTGGTTTATTCTTGTAACTTCTTTTTTTTCAGGATTAACAACAATCGTTTAAAACTTGAAGAAGAAACAAATCTTTTAGATGGTAGAAAAATAAAGCTGCAATCACCTGAGTGATTTGTGTAAAAAAAACTTAAAGAAATACTTCGTTTTTTTTTTTATACAATCCATTTGATGTTATTATTTTGAAACAAAGTTTAGGCTTTTTATGACATTTTCTCTTTCACATCTTTTAGGTTTAGGTATAGTCAGCTTTTCCCAAAGTGTTAAGAAAGAATTTAACGAACCAAACTGTAACTTTTATTACAGGCAGCATTATGATTAATCCTTTAAATAACGTTAGGAATCTGCTGGAAAGCTGCTGATGTTGGGGTTTTATTTTTTAGCAAAACTCTTAAATCAAAGCAGTAATTTAAAAATCAACATTGCCAATATTCAGACATTATGGATGAATTTTGGTAAATAAGCAGATTTTTTTTAGATCATAAAAACATAAAGAAATGCTTTTACTCTTGTCAAGCAACCCAGTAACAAGGCCTTTATGTATTATCATTTGCCACCCAGTAACTCCAATATGTCACGTTATACATAATGTATAAAGGACTTCTGTGTGTCCCACAGGCCGCCATGTGACTGCGGCGGAGGCTCTGCAGCTTGGAATAGTTGATGAGGTGACGGATCAAAATGCTGTCGATGCAGCTGTGAAGTTTGCTCAAAGCGTTGAAGGTAAGTTTCACAAAAAAAAAGCATATTCAGAAGTATTTAATGAAGTGATAGAAAATAAAATAAACATTAACTCAGAAGAAGGAGGAGAAACTGTTATTTTAGGCGAGGCTGACATCAAGACGTGTCGACATGAAGCCTTTAGAGGGCAAAGCAGGCAGAAGACACGGCAGCCAGATCCTCCACCGACATGGTCCATAAATGTTGCATGGCCCTGTCAGATGGGATCTGATGTCTTCACTGCTTTTGCTGTATAATTCAGGAGGGCGAAAAGGGACAAACTTTCCTAGAATATTAAAATTCGGGCCTTCTCCAGCCACTTAAGGGGGACCAGGAATCCCGCACGCACGTGAGTCAGACTCATTTACGCACAGAGTAGATTCCTGAAGTGTGCCGCGTCCCTAGAGTGTCGGAGGAGTGATCTCCCAGTCTGAGTGAAGAATGGCTCATTCATATCGGCTGAATAATTATTAAAGTGAAAAGAAAAACACAGTGTTCTCAATTCAAGTAAAAAATGAAAGAGGCTTAAAGAATAAAGAAAGAAAGTGATGTTTTAGGCTTTGGGGAGGCCTGGCTAGCATCCTGTGGCTACCTCATATCCGTCTGTCAAGTTAAAATGAACTTTGGCTTCATATTTAACATGCAGAAATAAGAAAGAGAGCAAAGAAGTGTGTCTACAGCTCCAGTGAACTGAAAACACCCCGCCCTCTCTGCTGTGTGTGTTGGAGTTTACTCAGGGGGAATATGTATTTTGCCTCAGCGGGGTCCTGCTTTATGGAGACCTTTTATTTTTCTGTGTGAAACAAACATGAGTCGGTGTATTTATGACTGCACTGTAGGCTTCACTGCACTACACTTTGTGTCAGAAATGTCGCAAAGTGACATATCCTCTTAGCTGTTTAAGAGTTTCTGAACCTTTACATTTTGTCCTGTGGGGTTTAAATCAGCTGGGAACCTGTTTGTCTCACTATTAAGCCTGTTGCTAAATGAATCTCTTTTTCCATCTGTGGGAAAATTTCAACTTTAAATCGGAGGATTTTAACAGATTTTTAATCGGAGTATTATAACAAATAATGTCCTTCCTTCCTTCCTTCCTTCCTTCCTTCCTTCAAGGAACAGGAACTTTAAAGATTCTCATCTGCAAAACTCTCAGATTGGACGGGACCTTGTAAGAAAGGGGTTTGTGTTTGTAAAGCTGAATCTTTGTTTTACCCAAATGCCTGAATTAACTACCAGACATGGAGCATTAGGACTGGAACTTTAGACTGTGGATGCATTTTGAGAAAATGCATGACCTCAGCATGCATACTAAGCTCCAATGTCTCCAAATGCACAGAAAAAACAAACAGTTTGTGCATGTAATTTATTACAGGCATAGCCGGAACAGATCTGAGTCTCTCACTGGTGACGAGATTAACTTTTTTTTTTTTTTTTTTTACCCAGCGGTTGCAACATCTGCCCGCTACATCTGTCGAGGGGCAGCCAGGATTCCCATCCTCTGCAAATCCACGGCTCAACCATTTACAGATTAACTGCAGCAATAATGCCTCCTAAATCACACTGAAACTGCATCAAGCTGCCACATATCTCCTCAGCGACATATAATTGTTTACCGAGAATTAAATATGTCTTCATGGATGTCCTTCATCTTCATTTCTCATGTTGTAAAACCCACTTTTTTTTTTTTTTTTTGTAAAACCCACTTTTTTTTTTTTTTTGAAAATTAATTTCTCATTGCAGAAAGTGGATAAGATAAATCAAATATAGTTCCTGTAGCTTTAAGCTTCACAGTAGTGACCCAGTTTTAGACCCAGACCCTCATGTGAGAGTAATTCAGTGTAGCTGTGAAGGTTTCTGACTGGTGTCTCTTGTAATCACATCAGAGTAGTCAGGGTTGGGAATTAAGATGCTGTTAATGTGTTTTTTTTTTCGAGCGGCCATTTTTTTTTACCTTGTTCACAGCCTTTAAAATCACAGCATGCAGGATGGGTTGTCTTGTAAAGTGGTTGGATTGAACAGTAAACAATCCCTTACAGAAGGATTTACTCAGTGGTCTGAACTTTACTGCATGCCACACTATTCATTTGTTTGAAAAAAATCCCCCAAAATTCCAATAATGCACTATGGTGTGCTGTCCATCTAAAAATCTGGATAAAAGGTTTGTTTTCTGGAATATGAAAAAATGTCAAGTTCAAGGTGTTTGAACATTTTCCAAGCCACCATAGGGCTGGAAAGCAGACAAGTCGATGAACTTTGCAGGAAGGGAACCTTTTGCTTTTTTGTTTCACTCAATGCTGCAGCGTTCAGGCAGTTCCTGCAATTATCTGGAAATGGCCTGTCAGATCAGCCTGCTCTCAGAGGCTGACTGAGTGGATGAGTGTGCCTGAAAAATGAATTATATCCACACTTCCTGAGTGCCAGTTGAAATTTTCAACAGAGTGGAAAGAAGGAAGCACTATGTAAAAAAAAAAAAAAAAAAGGGAGCTTAAAATTGCATATGGACATGACCAGAATCTAAGTTTAAGAATGTTTTTTTTAATGAATTTCTGCTTTTCACTAGATGTAATGTATTTGAGGCAACTTCTTCCTCATATATTTTCCAGGTAAATCTCTGGATGCCCGTCGAATCGGTACGTTTCCATGCCCACGCCCCCCTGATTTGGATGCCGTCTTTGAAAAAGTGATGAAAGAGGTGCGGCGGAGCGCCCGCGGAGCCATAGCACCTGTTACCTGTGTCCAGGCAGTTCACGCTGCTGTCACTCTGCCCTACGCTAAGGGGATGGAACGAGAGAGGGAGCTATTTTCCACACTCTTCACCTCAGGCCAGGCCCGTGCTCTGCAGTACTACTTCTTTGCCCAGAGAGCTGTCAGCAGGTGGAGCACGCCCAGTGGTGCCCGCTGGGACACCAGCAAGCCCAGGCCTGTCCGTAAAGCCGCTGTTATCGGTGAGAGTTTAAGGCTTTTAATTTGCGCTCAGCTTTCAATTAGCACAGGCACACCGAGTCTTCAGGCTATCTGTGTGGCATCTCCAAAGTCCTGTTGCCCATGGAAACTAAGCCCTCATTAACAGTTCATCCAAGTTTGGTAAATGGACTCGCTCTTTCCTGCAGGGAGGATGGGCTGCAAAACATTTTGGATATGCAAGGCTCAGCAGCTTGTGCATTGAAACTGCAAGCTCTAAAAAACGATTGAATATGCCAAAAATGATTTCTGAGAACACTCTGACAACACTACGCTGTCATGAAAGCGTAGTGTGGGGGGCAAGGATTCCTGTGCAGTCTGAAAATAATATTTGTTATTTAAGAAGTGAACAAGTCTGGATGGGTATAGAAAAACGTTTGGACAAACTGCTCAAAAAATAGAAACTATCCAAAAAGTTCAGAATTTTTTTCCTTGTTTCATAAAGGAAAGTTAATTGATTCTATTGATTAAATAGACAGAGGGAAATATTTCACGCCTTTATACTTACATTTTTTATGTTTATAGTTTATACATAATGAAAACCCAAATTTAGTTTGGTAGCACTGGTTGCATTTTTTTCCTTGTGCTCAACTTTCTATGAATGCACTTTATTCTTTTTACAAAATCCAAATTTTTCAGAGGCACAATGGATTTTTTTTTCACTTATTACACAAGGAAGACGTAAAAAAATGAAACCCTGTCATTAATTTAATTTATCAATTAAAGATTTAACAGATCAATTTGTGTACCAAATATGAATTATATTTAAATGGTGGATTTCTTTCCTCTCAGGGCTTGGCACCATGGGACGAGGTATAAGTGTGTCCCTGGCTCAGGCAGGGTTCTCTGTGGTTGCCGTGGAAACCCAGGAGAAGCAGCTGTTGGAGGCCAAGCAGGCAGTATCTGGCATGTTGGAGCGTGACGCCAAGAGGCGAGGGGCGCCCCTGGCACACGGTAATATCAAATACAGCTGCAGCCTGAAGGCTGCAGCAGATGTTGACCTCGTCATCGAAGCTGTGTTTGAGGACATGGCTCTGAAGAAAGCCATTTTTAGGCAGCTGTCGGCCATATGCAAACCAGGAACATTTCTGTGTTCAAACACCTCAGCGCTGGACATAGACGAGCTGGCTTCTCAAACCCAGAGCCCAGAGCTGGTGGTTGGGATGCATTTCTTCGCTCCGGCTCATGTCATGAAGCTGCTGGAGGTGGTGTATGGGCCACGTTCATCTCCTGAAGCTGTGGCCACGGCCATGCAGATGGGGAAGAAAATAGGAAAAGTGAGTGTTGCAGTTGGAAACTGTCGGGGCTTTGTAGGGAACCGAATGCTGAAGCCTTATTTGGAGCAAGCTTTCTTCTTGTTGGAAGAAGGAGCTACACCTGAGCAGGTGGATCAGGTGCTGGAAGAGTTTGGGTTTCCTATGGGTGTATTCAAGGTGTCTGACCTCTCTGGGTTGGATGTTGGGTGGAAAGTCAGGAAAGCAGATGGTTTAGTTGTGCCTGACTCTACAGGAAAGTCTGCTAGAATCCAGGGAGGTAGGAGGTACAGTCCTTTGGGAGACCTGCTCTGTGAGCAGGGAAGGTTTGGTCAGAAAACAGGCAGAGGGTGGTATCAGTACGACAAACCTGGTGGTCGTGTGGCTAAATCCGACCCTTGGCTGCACAGATTTCTGGAGGAGTACAGAGCCCGGCATGGCTTGGTAGCACGCCGCATAGATCAGCAGGAAGTGCTGGAGCGCTGCCTCTATGCCTTGATTAATGAGGGCTTCCAAATTCTCCAGGATGGGATAGCTGCAGGACCTGAAGACATCGATGTCATCTATGTGCTTGGGTATGGCTGGCCCCGCCACCGCGGGGGTCCCATGTTCTTCGCTGACATGGTGGGCCTGGACAAAGTTTTGGACAGGCTGGAACGCTACCACCAGCTGCACCCTGATGTTCCAGGCCTGAAGCCCTGCAGCCTGCTCAGAAAGCTGGCTGCCGGCGGCTGCCCACCGATCCACAGATGGAGGGAGGTCATCCAGAAACCCCACAGCCAGCTTTAAACTTCAGCTCACCTTCAGTGTGTGAGCTAATTCCTCTAATCAGAAATGCTAATTAACCAAATGATTGTAAATCTACTTTGCATTTAGCTTTAAGAAACTGCATTAAACTAAATCATATTACGTAAATTATTTTCATCATCTTTAGGCCTTGTGTTGGTAAATGTAAGGGTAGCAACTGTTTAAAGAGGGCACAGTCTATACTTGTAAAAGCTGATAAAAAAAATTATTACATATTTGTTTTTCCTTTTTTGTTGCAATTGATGTTTAATAGCTTAATGCCATTTTAATATCATACAAAGCTTGCTTGAATAAACAGATATTTGTGTTTTCAAAGGATTGGGATTTTTAGTCATACGATTTCATTTATAAAAGGGAAAACACTCTTCAAAACAACCAGCCTCTAAGTGTAATTTGCTTTTTTTGAAATTATTTTAAGACCACACAATCGCAACTCTGGCAGAATAACATCCTAACTTTGTCTAGGCCATTGAAACCTTCATTTTCTTGTTTTTCATACTTGTCCTCCACTATATACAAAATCGGCCTTAACTTAAAGACATGAATTGGTCGACCATTTACAGCAAAGATTTCTGGTGGAGAGAGAAATTCACAGTTTGATTGAAATACGGCAAATTGTCCTCAGCCTAAAGAAGAAAGTAGACTCAGAAAACCAAACCTCCAACAAATTAACTATTTGTATGATTCTTTAATGTGTTTTTTGTACCTTTCTGTTGTCCAGCCTGTACTGGGTCATTTAGCTCATTTAGTAATCCATTCCAGTTGTGTAGATGTGATTAACTTTGATTGTCTGTTCTAAAATTACTTTCGATTGCACCATGATGTCTTCCATGGAAATTATTAAAACTCGGTGCTTGCTTTGTTTAAGCTGCACTCATATTTAACAAGTAAATAGGTGTATTTTGTGCACAGTAGGACTAGATTTGATAAAATGTATAAACGTCATAGATAATCTTGCAGATATTTAATCTTGATCAGGTTTGCAATATCAGAATAAGAGCTTAATATATGCTTTACTTTGATTTGAAAACCTGATGAACCCTTTATAAAAAAAAAAAGATCTGGAATGCGGTACTTATTGCAGTTCTGACTGCAAGAACAAACAAAAAAAAAAAGCTGAAAACAATTTAGTTTGTGAAATTCCCAGTGGTTTTACAGCAGGGTGTTTAGATGTGGATTGCTTGTCATTTATATGGAAGGTGACAGTAATGGGAGTGAATTGTTGAGGCTTTAAAACTTATAGCTGCAGCCTCTGCAGAAATATTGAGAAATCTTTTAAATGGAAGACTACAGGAGAGACGGTTCTCCTCTGCCGTTTGGAAATATTCTGAGTTTTTTTTATGCTCATTTAAAATCTGTTAAACATATAGGACTTTTTTAATTATTTTTTTTAATCTAATCATTTATAAATATGGGCCAAATGAAAGCCGAATCGTCAGTTTAATGTATTAATGACATGTTTGACACCATCAAACTCTACATGTGATTTTGGTTGAAATTATTTTCATTTCATTCAGAAATTACATGATTAAACCAAAGACAGTGTTGAATCCTTATACAAACATATACAAAAACATACACATGGGAAAAGACTTGGATTTCTTAGTATTAAAGGCATTTCTACACTAAAACACTCAGAAAAACATTATGTATATGAATGGGGATTTCATTGCTGTGCTATAGATGCCTTGTAAGTCCGGATGATAGGTTTACATAGCCAGTTTTCATCTTTTGCCAGAATTTAATTTTTGTAATATACTTGAAGTTCAAGGCTATGCATCAAGGTACATGGAAGTGGAAATTTGTACTAATAAAATGTGAAAGTATGCTGTAAATACTCATCATGCTGGAAGTTGAAGTTTAATGTCCTTTGCAGCATCTAACAGGTTTTCTTTCCAGACTGTACTGTTTTTACTCTCCTCCATCCTCCCATTAAGCATATTCAAGCTTCCCTATCTCTGCTAAAGAAACTGTCTCCCCACAACATGACTCTGCCACTACCATTTTTCATGTCTGGATGCTGTGTTCAGGGTTAAGTGAGGTATTTGATTTATGTTTTGATCAGAGGGCCCTCTTCCAATTGTTTTCTGTCTCTATTTTGCTTATAGCAACTTTAAAAATGATTTCATAGTTAGTCTTTTATCAAAGGCCAGATTTGTGGAGTGTCGGAGCAATCGCCATCCTGTAAACCGATTCTTTTAATTGCGCTTCAGATCTTTGGAGCTCCCCCAGAGCTAACATGGCCGTTTTGTTTGCTTAAATGATTAATATAACCTATCAACTTGTTTGACGTGCTGAAACAAGTCTCTCTCTAAATGAGATCCTGGATCTGAGATAGCCTGCATATATAAAGGTGAAATCAAAAATAAAAACAGCACCATAAAGAAAACTTGGTTTATTGTTTTATAATCTAATGTTTTCTGAGGTTTTCAGAAAAAAGCAGATTTTAAAAATAAAGCAAGTGGATGCTAAAAGGTGAATATTAAGGGGTGTGTGTGAAAAAGGGGTTTAAACATACTTGCTTTTAAGGGTTGTTATAAATAAAATCGCTGATATTTCCTTTGCATCTTATAGTTATTTTTCTTCTTTGTGTCCATCTGTCATGAAATTCCCAGAAAAAAACACGGTTTTTGGTTGTAAATTGACATTTTTTTGTTATTAATTTCTACTTGTGATGTATTTTGTAAACACGATTATGCCAAATCCTTGAATTAAAGACATACTCTGTGTATTCTTTGTTGTGTGAAATGTTTTGAGTTTTTTTTGTCAGATTCTTTCCATCTTAATGGATGTTTATTATGTTAAGAAAAAAAAATGAAGCTCGTTTCTAGTTTCACTTGGTTCGTTTTCTGCTTGGCCTGCTTCATCAGAGCAGAACAGAGGGAGACTCAGAGCTTTAAAGTGGTTTAGCATAAATCAATGGCTCATTTCAGGTAAATCTCAGTCTGACTTCCAGTCAGCAGCAGCTGTTTTAGAGTTGCCACCTAGCGGCTGGAGAGCAGCTGGAACATTATGGCACACATGCATACATAAATACTTAAATTATATTATTAGTCACATTTTTTTCTGCAGTATTTATTTGATTTATTGCAGAATTCAACAAATGGCACCTGCTTACTTTCCAGGAATGTTGTGTTACTTATATATTCTCTGCAAATCAGGAGAAACCCTGAATAAAGCGACGCTTTTGCAGCCCAGATCTTTAAGGTTTATTGGAGACGATGAATATCACATCCAGACGATGAGCTTTGAAGTTGTCTGAGGAGCTGATGAAAGCCTTTGCTTGTTGTGTTTGAAGTGCGCGCAGCAGCTGGCTTTGTGTCCGTGGGGCTCCTCCCGTTCCTGTGATGAAGTTCAGATGCGCGTCACCAAAGCAGCGCGCACAGCTGAGGAGCTTCCCCGACGCCACACGGCACGAGAGACGGGGAGATGCGTGGATCACGATCACGGGAGCTTGTGGATGTGACACCACCCGTCGTTTGTACTTTCACAGAATGTGTGAGCAGCGTTTGCATGAGTAGCTGACCGAGCTGATCTGGATTCAGAGGACAAAAAAAGCTTCGCTGGCTGCGTGGATCGTGGAAAAACCTCTCTGCTCCAACAGATCTCGTTCTCTTTTCTTTCTTTCTTTTTTTTTTTTTTTTTAACCGAATCCGGGAAATGTTGGCATGGCCACTCCCGGAGCTCATAAGTGTCCGAAGAGTGAGAAGTTGGACGAGGCGCAGGCTTTGGCCAAAAGCTGCGCGGGGAGACCAGACTTCCTGCCGTGTGATGGACTCTCCATCTGCGCGACGCACAGCCACGGGAAGTGCTTCAAACTGCACTGGTGCTGCCACTTGGGCTGGTGTCACTGTAAGTTTGTTTCTGCATGCGCTAATGACCAATCTGGATCAATAGGAATGAAAACTTAGCGTCCATGAAGGATTAAAAAGCTCAATATTTAATCCATGTTCCAACAGGCAGAGGCTGAGCATTTTCCTTTGACTGAAGGGTACATAAAAAAAAAAGAGTAAATATCAAACATGTATTTGAATTTAAAAAAGTGGCAATATAAGTATGTCTCAGTAAATTAGAACAGCTTTAAAAAGGCTGAGTCTTAACACACATAGTAGGTTTTTATGTTTGATGGCAGCTGGTCTGAACTATATGTCCGTTTAAAGCGGACATCATGTATCAGTGGTTATATTTACCTTTATTGGGGTTATAATCTCGAAACTATTTTGATCACAGTATTGCTTTCTGCAGGAAAAAACAAAACAAAAACATTTTTTTGCATGTGTTTCATACAAAATTTTTGCAGGACAATTTTTTTGCGTAAAAGTTTGTTTCTTTTTTATTTTGCATGGCTAAATAAAAGTGTAGGGTAATTGAGCTGTTTTGTTTATTCCGTAAAAGTTTAAAAACAATCCACTGGACTTGGTTTCCAAGGTTTGAAGACGTTTCGCTTCCCCTCCAGAAAGCTTTTTCAATTCAAATGTGAGTATTGCCAACATCACATCTATATGTACGGAAGAGGATTAGGGCCATTGTATTGTTTATTGCAGTATTTAACCTTAGGTTAAAAACAATTTACTTTGACAGGTGAATTACCCACATAATATAGATACGATTCATCACACACATTTGAGCAATATTATTTGATTAAAAAAGACCAAATCTAATTATTACAATTTTGTGGTGCATATATACGGAAGAAGATTAGGGCCACTGAAAAATAAAAAAGTTAACTGATTTTTAAATTTTATTTCAGTTTAATATAGGAGAAAATCCTAATTCTGAGAAAAAAAAGTCGAAATTCTGAGAATCTGAGATTTTTCTCAGAATTCTGAGATTTTTCTCAGAATTCCGACTTTTTTCACAGAATTCCGACTTTTCTCAGAATTCCGACTTTTTTCTCAGAAAACCGACTTTTTTTCTCAGAAAACCCACTTTAATGTGAGAATTCTTATTTTAATCTCAGAATTCCGTCCTTTTTCTCAGAATTCCAAACTTTTTCTTATATTATACAGAAATAAAATTAAAAAAATCTGTTGACTTTTTAAAATTTTTAAGTGGCCCTAATCCTCTTCCGTACATATAGATGTGATGTTGGCAGGAATTTTATTCCAACTTATCTAGAAAAAACATTAATCACAGAGAAGTTATCCTATAGAAAATAAAGTCAACTACAGTAGATATGCACCATTAGACTGTCCCTGTTAATATTTGTTGTTTGTTTTTTTTATAATCAACATAATTTGTTAAAGGTGACTCCCACTTTTGGAAGTAACCTAAATTAAACATATTTGAAAAAATATATGTTTTAAGTGACAAATTATTTATGTTGGTATAAAAAATAGAGCAGTGGAGCAGATATGATAAATAAGACTTTGTTCATCCCCTAATTGAATTATTACAGTAGCAGGCAACAGTGAAGGCCCAATGATGGACCACTCTGTGCTTTTAGCATGAAGAGGTTGATTTCTGGAACTGTGCATTTAAACCACATGCTCTGCTATTGTGGAACCAAAGTGTGCGTGGTTTAAACTCATCTTTTCTCCTGAAATATTTGGATCCTTGAAAAGTACAAAAGATATAACGTTTGTCCAGATCTTGCATAAAATGCCTTCTCAGTTTCAGTCAGTGCTTTAAAAAGAAACAGTTTGAACAGGCTCCTTAAAATTGAATTGTCTGCATAGGATCCTGCTGGGCTGAGATGATGGACTCTGGAAACCCATATTGGGGACCTGCTTTCGTAGAATACCACAGACTTCTGCTTCTGTAGCTATGTTTGCTTTATATTATCACAATCTCACATCTATTTGGAAATGGTGTAAAGAACTGGCTGAGGTGATCAGCGGCATGATACGAAATTTGTGGGATAAGTCATCGTGTCGCGTTCCTTGTCAGGAGCTTACACGTACCAATTTGTAAGCTACCTAAAAGGTTACCTGTGAAGATGCAAGCATATTAGAAAGTGCTCTATGTAAGTCTTTTAATGTAAAAAATGTAGTTGAAGAAAATCACAACACAACGCAGATAGCTTCAGTTTGGATATTGTAATGCAAACCCAAATCAAGACTTTTAGGGGAGATTTAAAAGGTCTGAACTTTAGAAGTACTTTGCTTTATTTTAGTAACCAAAGATGGACAGTAACTATATAATTGCTTGCGTTTAATAACAGTAGAAATTATCAACCATCACCATTTTAAAACGTCAAATCAGAGAAGAAAAGCCCTGAACTATTTCTCCCTGGTTCAAAGTCCGCTAGGAATAATTGATTCTGTTTAATTTGGAACTCAAGGTCTTAGAGTCTAAAGCAATGAGTGATTGGTTGTGTGAATTTTTTACTGTAATGACTTGTTGAGCCCTTTCATCTGTCAGTGTTGGTCTGCCGTGTTTTTATTAAGTCAAGTCATTGCGGTCATGCAACAGGAAATTGTAAAGCTCATTAAGTGCTTATGACTCCAGATAATTATTTAGAGCCATATTTAGAGGGAATTAATTTGCTGCCAGAACTTAACATTTGACTGTTGTTTATTGAGGCAGAGTTGTAATGACTTCACCACCTTTTGTCATTTCAAGTCACAGTGTTGGTCTGAATCTTCTGTAAAATCTAGTCAGTGATGAATGATGCTAAAATTTTATAGAACGCTGAAATCTCTGCTCAACATAATTTTTTTCCTTTTTAATTCTTCATCTATTCTTCAAATATTTATTGGTTGCTTTTGTCCTTCAGCTCTATTTGATGTTATAAAATATCTCTTCCTGTGGGACTGTCGTGCCATTGACAGACTGGCAAGTTCCCAATGAGCTGCTTAGCTGCTGCTGACCATCCTCTGTGGGTTATTTTTGTAAACTTATGATGGAATGACACACTGAAGTCCAAATCAGTTGCTTAAAAGCAGATATGATCAACACCCTCAAACATATAAAATAAAACTGCTTTCTAATGGCTGTTCACTGTAGTGAACACAATGCATTAACAGCTAAAGGATCAGTCTATGTCATCAAAGCTGAAATGTCACCGTCTGTTCTGGTATAAACTAGATATTTTTGGTACCCAAAGCAAATCTGATGCTTCAATATCGTGGCATTAGATCCTGTTTCTTATCGTTACACGATGAACTTATTCTGTCCTGAGACAGAGCACCTTCAATTTTATATCTAACAACACTTCTTTGTCTATCATGAAAAGTCACGTTATTGTTAATGATGTACAGCCTAATGTTCCCTCAAACAGATTTAAATCTTCCAATGGAAAAAACACTTTAAAATGAGTTTTGCTGTCTAAACGGTTGTAGAAGATTAGCTGGAAGGGATTTTTTATGTTCCATATTCTGATTCTGTTTTTTTTTTTTCTGTCTCTGTGACACATTCGTTTTCTTGATACAGTCTGATGACTCTGTCACACAACTGAATCACCACTTTCATTTCTGCTTTTAAAGGCCATGTCTGGTGATTTCGTTATAAAGTCCTAGTCATGTGTTTTATAAAAGTATCCTTTTATATGTTTTCATTATGTGATTTTATATATATATTAAAAAAACTATTTGTAAGCTTATTTAATCTTAATAGTCGCCCACCAGTATTTGGAATGTATTTAGACTCAATATATAATGCTTTTAACACTCAGCAGGAGAGCTAGGGTTTATTATTTCATGCTTGATAAGAACAAAGTTATTTCTCCAAAGTTATTTTTGAAGTTCATAATAGGCAGAGGCTATGTAGCATTGTTCAGGTATACCAATGTTTTAAAAAAATATAGAGACTTTTTTAAACAATAAAATTAATGTGTGTGTACTGAAGTTGCTTTAAACTCCTTTCCAATAATGAAAATAATGATTTTTCTTCCACTCCCAGAAATAAATTTTTTGTTGTAGTGGTTTTATTACTTTTTTAAGGAGGAGAAAATAACTGAGTTTTCCCTAGCGGTATGGAGTATAGAGTAGTTCACTGCTGGCCCTCTCCCACCTATTGCTTAACACCAACCCTTCAATTCCTCACAAATGTGTCTCACCGCCCCCTGGTTTGCAAAAAAGTTTAATAAATTTAAAATATTCTTTCAGTTATGAAAAATATGGTCACGTCATGGTTAGAGGAGTGGCAGCCTAGTAGTTAAGACATAGAGCTTGGAATCCTGAAGTTTTAATTTCGAGCCCCAGTCCCACAAACTGCTACTCTGGGTCTCTTAGCAAGTCCCTTAACCCCACACTGCTCCACTGAAGCCCCACGATGCCAGCTCACTGCTTCCCAAGGGGGTAGGTTAAATGCAGAGGTGAATTTCTTCAATGTGAGATCAATAAAGTTCAATTATTATTATGTAAGGAAGATAAATGTGAGCCATGCATTTATGTTATAAAGTTATGCTGTTCAAATTTTACAGTTGATTGATTCAGCAAAGTTATTAGATAAGTTATTAATTTATCTGAGAAAGCATTCTACAAAGAAAGCCTTTATTCCGTCATTGTTCAGTTTCTTTTTTAAATTATCTTTGTTAGAAACATGCAGCTTCAAATAAACAATTTCCACTCTTTTCTGATTTTGAGCACTGTCTGTGGTTTTCCATCCTCTTGTTTGCTTGACCTTGAACTTAGTCTGAAGATATTCTACTCGTCCCCCTTGACAAAACATCAGACCCCGGACAACATGTCTGTTTCTTTGTGCTGTCCCTAATTTATCCCCATCTCAATCCAGCTGCCCCGAAAATCCTCAGATCAGTGTAAAACACAATCACCATCTCCTCTGCAGCAGCCACACAGGGGCTTACAGCGTGCAGCCGCACAAGTCACATTGTAATCTTTTTGCTGTGTAATCGTGGGATTTCAGATTTCCCCTACCTCCCTTCCAGAATGAGCCATGCGATTTTGAAA